ATTGGATGGGTTTTTGGTTCCTCAAATACTGTTCAATCTATTCTTTGGCTCTAAAGAGAAGGCTCTTGCACCTCCCTTTTATGTGGGAACTACTTTTGTTCGATTGCTTCCACATGCATATGACCTTTACAGAACTCGTAGTTCGAGTTGGTCGTTCAGTTATATATACGCAGACCCGAAACTGGACTACTATTCCACTACTTGGGATGTCATCATATCCGTTGGAGGTGTTATATTTGTTGTCCTGATTTACTTGCAGCAGAGGTATGGTGGGCGGTGTCTTTTACTGAAGAGGTTCTGGCAGAGATTTGCGTATGAAAAAGTATCTGCCACTAGCCCTGATGAGTAATTTTGAGAAATGGTATAGGTAACATCACTCTTTGGTTGTGGGATTCATTTTTCCTCTTCTATTGGTGCACATTTTGAAAATCAGTTAATTGGTTCGTGACAGGAATTACGATATTATTATGCATATGGCTGCCACATTCTTTAGTTTTAATTCGTCAAGTTTCGTATTGTACAGCGATTGGTGTTCCTCTTCTTTGTGGTCTGTTTAACTTGAGGTATTTTTCAGGCCGTATGATTCCACATACATTGCACGTACACTTCTTTATATATAAATAATTTGTTCATCTTCTTGCTTGCTGATATTGCTGCTGAAATTATAATGCTGCGAAGCCACGTTAAAAATAATGTAATGGAATCGATGGAAAGCTTACTTTGAATAACACTGGTTATATGTCCTCTCTTATCATCTATTTAGATATTATATACATCTTCAATTTATTACATATTCGGATTTTGGAGCTGAAGTTTGAATTTTTGTTAGCCCTGATTGTCAGTGATCGGCTACAGAAACTTGATTTGAAGCGAAGAAAGTGGTTAAGAATTTACTCTCAATGCTGCACACCAAATTATGAATTTCGCAGCAAACGGCGAAAAATAGTAGCATTCGAAATGGTAGAGAAAACAACAGCACTGCATTAAAGCACTTATATATAGCTTATAAGTGAATGGTAGAAAAAACAGAAATTCAGAATTCTGATAAATTAAGAGATGAACAAAAAAGAAGTAACTACTAGTATGTACAGTCCCAAAAATGATATAGCAACAATGTTCTTCCAACCAGTCCTGCTTTTCCTACTGCTACCTTACACACTATTTATTCTTCATTCCATTAGTTGATACCATCAATCAATCGTCGTCATTCCATAGGAGAGAACCTGCGTTAATCATTCATCGGATGTCGTTGTAGAGTTTTGAGAGAGAGTTTAGAGAGAGAGAGAGAGAGAGAGAGAGAGAGAGAGAGAGAGAGAGAGAGAGAGAGAGAGAGAGAGAGATGCACTTACCAGTCACCAATTAGCTTTGACAGCAGTTCGGTAGACCTAGGATGCACTCATGATGATGATGTTTGTCATTGAATTGGAAACCTGTAAGTAAGACACACGGGCGACTGATTAACAATTAAACTTGATTTCGATCAGAATCGAAGTAGTAACTGAACTTAAAGCAAGACCAGTCCCCTATTAATAACAACTATATTTGCAACATAGATTTTACCTCAATCAAAAAATCAGGTGTCCTGGTAAGAATTCTTGCCGGTCAAAATCCGCGAAATCTGAAGCCCCCTACTAAAAGCTTCATTAAACAATATCCTAGTCTGCATCTGCTGAAATCCAGGCATCCACGACAAAAAAGCCAAAGGGACCATAACAATTAAACCAAACAGCATATCATACAAACGAGCCAACGCCACAACAGTCTCCCAAACGACACTCGTCTGCATAAAAGGCCTCAGCACCTGAGCTATAAGTATAATCCCCCAACCCGTTGGAATAAACGCCAACAAACTCTTTATGAAATCAACCGCAGTCACATTCGTAAAGTGCAGAAGCAAAACCACCACAAGCACTGTCAGCAAGATCACAAGAAACTGAACCAGCCTGTAATAAATATGTTCCCTCGCAGCATATTTATCCCGAGCATACGCAATGACAATATATATACCCACAGCTACTATTAGATATATCCAAGACAGCAAGTAAACCGCAATACTTTTGTTCCCACCCGCAATATTCAAATGGTAGACAATTCCATACTGGAAAAAGAAGAACCGAAGATCCAAGATAATCTCCAGCAGTTTCCCCCACAGACCAGTTGTTCTGAAGTGATCCTGCTCCTCGTACCACCACGTCTCCCAGCTCTGATCCGATTTGACCAGAATACCTCTGTACTTTATCCAGCTCAAGAAATCGTCAAAATCATACACCGTTTTTAGCCAGTCGAAGCCAGAGGGGTTGAAGACAAAGGGTGCCATTATCCACGACAGAACAAGAAACCAACTTGATATCGTCATAACAATGTACACAAACGTGTTTGCAGCCAATGCACTACTTGAAGCATAAACGAGAAGAATGACTCCAAGTTCGATACCCTTCACGAAATGGCTGCGTGCGTACAGCCTGTAGTTTTCTGCAAAGCTCTTGTGCTGCACCACAAAACCCCGTCCTGTAGCACGGTACTTTGCCCCACCGTGCAGAATTGTCCGGCCGAAGAAATGTGCACGGGTACCCATAGAGAAAGTGTAGAAAAATGAAGAAAACTGCAATTGCATTGTCATAAAATCCCAGATAGCCGGTAAGAAGCCACGTTCTAGAGAGTTCTCTACAATCATTGGCATAGCAGTGAAAATACCAATCTGGATAACAAACTGCTGATTCAGAATAGCACCGAGGGCTTTATTGTTGTTGGCCTTTTTAACATACTCTTCAACTCCACTCAAGGCGAGGTAGAGCCGCCCCCATAGGAACGTGTACACCATGACCACCACCATCATGTTGTTGAAGAAGAACCCTACAGTTGTGTAGAAGACAGACAGCATACGGAAGAAATCGAGCCTGTGACCCAATCTGTATATATCTCTGCTCAAAACCTGCTCACCGTTGCCACTCGCAACTTTAGCCTCAAACATGGAGATCTGATTCAACCCGACATCCCTTCCTTTACCCACTTGTATGTACTCGTGATGCGTCACATTTCCGCCTCTCAACGTGCAATTGAACCCCGCGTATATATCTTCGCTTATGTTAATCACCCTCGAAGCCTTGCTTATACCACCCCTAGTCAAGAACCAGAACCTGTCAAACACATCAGGGTGACCATAGTGCATTCTCACCTTGAGAGGATTAGCTAAAACACGTTGCCCAAGTGTGACGAAACTCATCTCTTGAGCAGACATAAACCAAGCGAGCGAAGAAACAGAACCAGTAAATATGTTTTCGCGAACTCCTAGAATTGTGGGCTTCCTTATGCCATAAGTTACCTTAAATTCCTCCAATAAATTACGCATCTTGAGTGCCTCCTCGAAGTAGTTGTCTTGGTTCATGTCGATGGTCTGTAAAGCATCGCCACGTGTGAATATTATCGCATGGTTCTGATTCTCGGGTTTGCCTTCCCCTAGTTTCAAAGGACCGGGAAGCTTAATTCGGTAGATCTCCACTTCTTTCTTTAGCTGTTGATCGTACTTCACCAAGACAGAGTAGTACTCAACCTCTTCTCTTCCCAAGTGGACCTCGTCCACATAAGCCACTCGAAGGGCCTCGTTATTTTTCATCAAATATAACACCTCGTCAGCTCGGTGATCGCCTTTCCCCTTATGAACACCGTACAGTTGGCATGCAACTACATAAGTGTATTTCATTAGAGCAACACCGAATTCATGCCCTTTATAAAGCATACTCACACTGCTCCCTGCCCTGTTTAGACTTCGAGTATTCGTTGCACCACCGATATTCACCCCGCTGTTCATTTTCAGCGAACCGAGCGAAAAAATATCTTGCGACCCTTGTCTTATATCCATCTCTGAAGCAGCATCAAGAAACGAAAGCATTTTAAGGGCTCTGTAATAATACATCATCCCTCTGACAGTACGAGACAGTGTTTGCCCCCTGTAAGAAGCCCATAGCCTGAGTTCCCTCGTTTTCGTAGTCCATATATGACTGTCGTCCTGCATGCCTTCCCTTCGCATACGCTCCATAAAATTCTCCCACTCGTCTGCGTAAATCTTCTGAAGATAAAACAAGGTGGAAACACCGTCTTCATTCGGGCTTCGAAGCATCTCTTTTCCGAACAGGACTTCTTCATCGTAGTAAGGAGTCAACACACTGAACGCCATCATCTTCTCTACCTGTGGCGCACGAGGCATGTTCATAAAGAGCGAGTTACTAAAGAAAGCAACCCTTCTTCTCGCCTCGAGATTCTTCGGGACATTGTGCATCGAATCTCGAGAATTAAGAATCGTTCGCAAACGACGTAATTGCCTAAAGAAGAAAGCATCGTCAGCATCAGGCAATTGGATAGCATTTTCAAACAGCAGCCCATCAGCGGTATTCGGATTGAGAGGCGCCAAACCTTCCTGCCTCAACTGAGCCACAGACTTCTTCACCCTCGGAAGTTCCCGAATCGCAAGCTCGTACAATGCCTGCATTACATTCACCACTCTCTCAATATTCTTCTTCTCTGGCAAAAGGAGAAGCTCGATGAGAGATATTAAATGCTCATGTATTTTGGGCAGAACTGTCGTCTTATACGCCCCTGTAAACTTTTCAAACCGGAGGTAATCATCAACCTCCAGGAAAAATTTTGTAGCTATGGAATATTCTTCTGTGCCGTATTTGATAATCTGAAGAAGCAAGTACTTGATACTATCGTAAGCTTCGGTGACAGCACACCTTCGATACTCAACCTTGCATATACGAGACCACACCCACCTATCTGAAGTATCGACAAGTTCTCTAGCTTGGCTCAGAGCAATCAGTAGCTCATTGCACAAGAGAGCACAAGGCCAGCGCACCACTTTGATATCCCAACAGTTTGGCGGCAGCTCCAGTAGCTCAAGTTCTTGGTCGCTGATTAGGTCTTCTTCTCTTAAAGTGATGATTATTTCGTTCCATATCAGAGCGAATCTAGTTGCTTCAACCTGGCTCGATTCGATCTTCTTGTAGGGCTGGCCGAGGCCATACCGAAGCTTAATACGGTGCATTGCATCACGAATTCTGTGCACAACTGTTGCCTCGGAATTAAGAGTGTGATCCTCTGGCATTAGGTTAAACTGCAGTGCACTGGCAAAGAACTGGAACCTGAGCCTCAGCTGGTTGATGTTTCGAATTTCGCCTATATGAGAGAATAGCCCAGTCAACGAACCGGAGAAAGAGGAGAATATCGTGTACCAGATTTGCAAATCGACTAAATATATCAAGACAACAGGGGCCCACAGCATCACAACTGCCACTCTGTTGTTACTAGTGAAGAATTCGTGCCAGCGGTACGTCACCCCTCTGAGATTCAAGAGAGATCTTGTCGGTCCAACTAGGGGTCTGATTTGAAGAAAGTAACTAAAAGTGAATTTCGAAGCCAACACTGCAATCCAGAACAGAGTGTACTTTATGTTATCAACGAGCCCTTCTCTAACCCCACGGCCCACAAATGTTCGGGAGTAAAACCACCATGTGAAGACATTGAAAATTTGCCAATCTGAATCCTCAATGAAATTGCGAACCCATGGAACAATGAACAGGACCAAAGCAAGTAATTCCGGAACAATGAAAACTAAGGCAGCCTTGAGAAATACAAGAATTCTTTGGTTTGCCTCGAATGACCATGACCTGTCTGAATTCTTCTGGCTCCAAATCCTAGCGTAGAACACTCCGAACACAACACCCCAAGTAAGAGCAACCATACTTTTCAAAACCATTCGGAAACCAAGCAACTTTGTTTCCCTTGTGACCAAGCTATATTGAGTACCGGCATCAAGAATCGATTGTATAAATCTTAAACCAGACCATGTAATGAAAAGTGTGAGCAGCTCCACCTGCACATCCCTACTCTGCAATGCCTGCCATGGATAATCCCTCCCCGCCCAAGAAACAATAGCAGCCGCCTGAAAATAAAGTATCAACAAAACCCACAACCTATCGAAACTACGAAATATATTCCAGAAAGTGCGCTGCTCTACAAATCCAGTTTTCCCCACCCTCTTTTCCCTATCAGCCGAGAAAAAGTTGCTCGACAAATCTAAAGGCCATTTCACCTTCTTAAAGCATCTCCTACTCCAAAAGTACTCGTTAATATCATCATAGTTTCTCCAAGCTGAATGTGGTGCAGTCCCGTTTCTACTCCTCGCAACTTCCCCCTTAATCGTAGTGTAAATTGGTGTAATAACTTCATTCAAGAAACCAAATTGTCTACAAGTTGAGGGGACGAAAAGCTGTCCGGTATTCTCATCAATGTGATCATCAAGAATGTAATTAAGTTCCAATGCCATGTGATGATAAATATAGCACAAGCATTCCGGGGTGAAACGCAAGTTTGCGGCTTCACCCCATATAAGTAGATAAAGACATACATACAAGAGCTCACGGCGTTCGATATCGGGGTTGTGTCGATTGGGGAGACGAACCTGAGACCTCTTCCCTAAGTAGGAGCACCACGAAGTGTAGTTCTTCAGGAGCTTCTGGCGGAAGCGGTGGAGGACGCCGTGGTCGAGGCGGTCGGCGGCGGCGGGGGGCGGCTGCAGGCGCATTTGCGAGTTGGCTAGGTGGAGCACCAAATTCTCTCTCTGGTTCTGAACGTTGTCCTTTTGGAAACCGAAGAAAAGACCTAGCCAGTCGAGGAGGTCCATGCTCTCGTGCCATTGGTTGAAAGGGGGCTTACGGAGGTCCCCGGCGGCGCGTAGGGCGGCGGCTGCGGCGCGTACCTCCGGGTAACGGAGGGAAGGGTGGTCCGCGAGTAGGTTATGGATGGGGATGATGTTGAACGGCTCGGACAACAGCGGGCGCGGTGGTGGCACAGGCGGCGCGTGAGGACCACGGCCGCCCGTCGGAATCGGGCGCTGCCTCAGATTCATGGCATGGAGCCCTCTCTCGAACAGTCAAATTAACTGCAATTATTAATTAATTTCTAGAGATGCAAATTGTGTAACTGCACTTAAAGTACGTCTTCTTCACCCGCACAAGAAATATACATATAATTTTGTATGTATGTATGGCTGCGTGTATCTATATGCTGTTTGTATCTATATTACTGAAAAATAGGGATTAGATTTTAAAAATGAGACCTTTGCGTTTCTTGTTTGACTGGTTTTACTTTCAGCCATCGTGGGTTTGTGTGCGCGGTCTGGAAGTTACACTAGTGACAGAGTAAGTGTTCACCACGCGCTAACGCAAGCGAGTGTGGAGAGCGGGATCAATGGGGGTCGTGGGGGAGTAAAAAGTGGGGCTGCTCCTTTCTGTGGGCAATTCAGTCAGTTTGCATAAAATTAGAAATTTATTAGTGGGGCTAAAGAACGTGTGAGAACAAAATTCACACGTGCAAACAATTAACTCGAAAATCTATAAATTATAATCACTTCTTTAATTCTTGTGATGTTTGCAAAAAAAATTTGAAAGTGATTATGAGCTCTTTTTTGCTCATAATCTGTTTTTATGTGTTTGTAAAATCAATTTTTGCTTTTGCTTTTCTTATAATAATTTGCTTTAAACTATTTTTTTTAAAAGTACTCATAACCCTGTTTTTTCTATTTAGATTCATTATCCGAAATATTTGCAAACATCCCCAACTTTTAAAAATAAGCACTTAAAACTAACTTAGGTGGTGTTTGCAAATTAGGGATGGCCATGGGGCGGGTTTTGCATTCTCCGCACCCGCCCCGTTAACAAACCCGTTCAACCCGCACCCGCCCCGCCCCGCAACGGGTATAAATTTTCTCAACCCGCACCCGCTCCATAGAAAACCCGCGGGTACCCGCCCCGTCAAAAAAACCCGTAAAGCTGAAGAAAAAAGTAAAAAAAATAAATAAATTGAATAACCCTAATAAAAAAAAAATCTAAATCAAGATATCAAATGTATAATAAAATAAATAATATATATATAAATATATATATATATATATGCGGGGCGGGTCGGGGCGGGTACCCGCGGGTCGGGTAAAAATTGCCATCCCTGCAAATGATTATTTAAAAGCAGAAGTTAGTGATTGTGATTTAAGTTAGTTTTAAGTGTTTATTTCTAAAAGTTGGGGGTGTTTGCAAATATTTCGGAAAATGAACTAAAACTGAAAAAACAGGGTTAGGGATGCTTTTAAAAAAATAGCTTAAAGCAGATTATTTTAAGTGATGCAAAAGCAAAAGTTGATTTTGCAAACACCTAAAAACAGATTATGAGCAAAAAAAACCGCATAATCACTTTTAAAAAGCATTTACAAACACCACCTTAACTCACAATCACTAACTTTTGCTTTTAAATAATCATTTACAAACGCCACCATAATCTTGTTAATGATTGAATCAATAGGAAAAAAAAAATTAGACACAGAAAATTATAAAAATTAAAGTATTGTATGCAAATTTATGAACTAAATCATAGTTAATTGTTTTATCATATTCATTTACAAATCAACCCAACAAGAGATAAAAGATAGAATCACTTTTCCAAAAGGCAAAGGAGTAGGGATAAAAAGGACATTTCCTTTATTTTTAAGGATTAGAATCACATGCTTTTAACCAGGCAGCTTATCCCTTGTTTGTCATTTTGCTATTTTTTTCGAATTTCTCATCTTTACGGGGCTCACGCGCACACTCCCACGCGCCCACTTGTGTGAACTAGTATTTTCAAAGGGGATATTCCATTATTGCCACCCGGAAAACTTTCCGTCTTCCCAAAAAGGAGTATTTATTATTATAAATAATAATAAATTAATTAATTTGAAAAAATTGAAAAGTGAAATAGTTGGCCCCGGGCCAGAGATCTACCTCTGTACAGTGTAACCGTTGCCCTGTCGTCTATTGCACCACTTGCATCACGCCACGTCACCATTAAAACATTACGTACTTCAAACCCAATTTTTTAATTTTGATTTTGATTTGATTTTTTTTTTTTTAATCTCAACCCCATTGGAAATTATTGAACCTAAGATTTTGATATGCCTAATTGGGCCAACCCAATAGGCCTACAATTTCTTTACCTACTGGGCTACGAGCCCAATATCGAAGACCAATATCACCGAGGCCCAAACACCTTCAAGTAAGGCTTGGGCCCAACAAACCCAACCCAACCCAATAAACGACATATAAATAGAGGTTTTACTCATTTTATTAAGGTACGTCCTATTAACTGAACAATACTATAATATGTATTCTCTGAACTATTTCTATGATCAGCACGTCTGACTTGAGCGTCGGAGGGGTTTCCGCCGGATCAACCCCCGGCGTAGTTCACGTGTGTTCATTTCGCAGGTACCTCAGGATCATCAAGTTGTCAAACTACTGATCTGCTTTGCTCTCCCAGCTCATTTTCTACACCACCCTAGGTGAGCTATATTTTAGCATCATCAGATTTATATAAACATACAATCTTTGAATGGATGGGCAACATTAGTATATTACCAATATGGCAATATGTTCTTGAATAACTCAATATCTCACATATATATTATATGTTACATTAATGGGATTATTTGTCAAAAGCCCCCATTATACAAGTCTAATTACAATAGGTCCAATTTTTTTAGAACTTTTTGAGATAAATCCATTTCAGCATTAAATAATAAAAAAGATAAATTATCACTATTATACCCTTAACTTAAAAGTAACGTATGTTTTAGGATTGGAAATAAAAAAAAAATTAGAAAAGATTTATAATATCTTTTCCTATTATATCGTAACAACACATCCTCATATAATTCCACGATTACACCTCTTAATTACAGAGAAACTGTTTCAAAGTAATATGTATTATCTTTGCCTATCTCTTTCTTTTTGATGATTCGTCCTCCATTATTGGGCTTGGAGAATCAGCGACTCCATTGGAGGAAATTGCAGAAACCCTAATTAAAGATTGGAGCAAATAAAAAATTTTGGTTATAAATATTCCAGGTCCGGCGACGGAAGGAGGAGGATTTGCATGTGGAGGAGCGGCGGCCGCTGCGGTGGAAGTGCACAGAGTATGTCTTCCGTCGCCGAGGACCACCGTGGAGAAACTCGTAAATTGTTTAGAGTTGATGAGAAGCCAAAGATGCAGAAAAAATGAATTATCCTGCTATTTCGTGTGAAGGTTCATTGTGATGATGACGTAACCAGATGTAAAATATTCCATGGTTAATGGAAATATTAATAAATTTTTTTAAATACATTTACTTAATAATAATAAATCAATTTTGAGTTATTTACTAAGTCGAAGCAAAATGATTTATCTGCCTCGACTCGAGGTGAATATTTGTAAAGATTCATTTTTTTTAACCCATACTAATAAACAAACAAGTCTAGGAATTTGTAATTATACAGTGGTTTTCGTTAATTACAGAGTGATTTTCGTTAATTTAATAGTGGTTTTGTTAATTGATAGGTTTTTAGTGAATTTTTGTAATGAAATTTATTAATTACATAGTGGTTTTCACTTATTACATAGTGGATTATGTTAATACTAATGTAAATTATGCTTATTTTATAGTAATTTTTACGTTAATTTTATAGTGGTTTTCGATAAATTTAGTGGTTTTCGATGTGTACGCAAACATGGTTCCTTCTAATTATGTTAAAATTAGTCTAGGGTATAATCTTTAAATTAAAAGAATTAGACAGTGATATTACATATACATTAGGCACCGCAATTCCGTTGTTTGATTTCAATGGTAATCGTGTTAATCAATATATTTTGGGAATTGCTTTTTGCGGTTTGAAAATTGCTATTTGCGGTTTTTGACAAAATCCCCCAAAAAAACACTTTATTTCACTAAAACCCCAAAACTTTCCAAAAAAATCCAAAAATCCCCCCAAAACGCCTAAAAGCCCAACTTGGGCGCCCATTTATGCAGTGCACGCCCAAGTTGGGCGTGCAAGCTGCATTTGGGCGCCCGAGTTGGGCGTCCAGTGCAAATTTTTTTTTATTTTTTTTTTTTAAATGGTCGAACGCCCAAGATGGGCGTCCGACCATGTTTTTGCGAAAAAAAAAGCCCTACAAATCGATTTGTAGGGCTTTTTAACATGAAATTGGTTCCGTAATGGACCTACCCAATACATATTACACATAAAAGAATCGAAATTACATCAAAAAATCGAAGCCCAACCCTTCTTCAAGCTTGATTTCAAATTTTCGAGTTTTTTTTTCTTTTTTTTTGCTATTTGCAGTTTTGAGGGGTTTTTTGATATTTTTAAAAGTTTTGGGGGGTTTTGTTAGAAACCGCGAATAGCAATTTTGTGACCGCAAATAGCATTTTCTATATATTTTATATTCGAAGATATCAGACCTAGTTAATTTAAACGCTGAAAAATATGATAGTGCTAGGCTTACACGTGTATTCTTGTGTATCTATTACGAGCCTCTTAAAATCCCTGAATTATTGGTGTTGCAGTGGATTTTAATTTTTTTTAAATATGAACTATTTAAAAAAGTAAAATAAAAATAAAAAACTTATGTTTTAAATTAATATAAAAAAAACTATTTAAAAAAAAAAAAAAAAGACTGCATATTATACGGTTATGTTTTCTATCGTGATTTAGGGGAAGAGGGGCGAATTATATGGTAATTTGATTTTAGGATTGATTTGGAATTGATTTATTTTTTGGAGGGATTTGGTATTAATTTACCGTAATATTTAATTTAATAATTATACTAATAAGTGGGGCATTTATGGGTTTTTAAGTCCAATGGATTTATCTCAAATACCATTAATTAATTAAGGATTTATCAAGAATAAAAAACCCAATAGAGGGTGTTTGACATATTCCCCCTACATTAATATCTATTACCAATTACCAAATAGTACAAATGACAATTATCTGATGAGAAGGAAAAACAGAGTGAATTCAAATAAATAAAGAATAAAAAAAGAAACGTTTCTAAGTATTGAGAGTGAAAAGACTAATAAGATTGTGAAGAGAGTAGACGAGTATGAGGAAATAAGCAAGTGCAGCTGCAAAACCAGCAATCATGGCTCCCGTAACATGATCGCAAAACTTCGGAACTTGTCCGCAAATCGGCAGCCAACCAGCATGGCTGTTCCCTTTCTTCCCCACTTGCCCTATCGCTATACATGCCGATATGCTCGATTCCAACAACAATGTCACAATCTACAACATACTCAAAAACAAATTATAAGTAGTAGCTTTTTTGTACAAAATAATTATATAAAAAAATGTAGGAGATTTGCTTACCAAATCTAGAGCCAAGATCAAGTGCCCGAATGAACTCTTACATGACAAAAATAGTAGTATAAGTGTGTAACCACTTGCAATTGCATTTATCAATATAAAGTACCTGCATCAATATATCTATATTAGAAAAAAAAATTGAAGTTTTTTCGATGATTATAAATATATATGTTGTACGAGATAGAATGGGATGATTGGACGAACTTGAAAGTGGGCGAATTCGTATATTTGGCTTCGAATTTGATGTTAAAGACCAAAGCGGAGTCGTGGCTGGTGACCATGAGTACAGTTGCAGACACGGTGGCACCCAAGGCCAGGAGCCTCAGCAGAAAAATCGGAAGAATTCTTTTCGACAAAATCATAATTAAGGTTTTCGGATTATTGTTGTTATGAGACCGACGATTAGTTCGTGTAGTGACAGATTATGTGTGCGGAAGTTATAGAGGGAGAGATATTATGAGTTAGGAAAATGCAGATAAGTGGGAGGTGGTCTTTTATCTTCATGACAAACATGTTCTAGGTAACCTAATGAAGCCTCAAAATATATTTGTGCATGTCCTAATATTTTAATTCAGGTGAATCCTCAAAAGTGATGCTAATTTTTTTAATTTTTAAGTTTAAACTATACTGATTAAAATTGACTTAGTTTAAGGCCATTGTGAAGAGTGTGCAGGCCAACTACTAACAGTTGAATATGTGACAGCTCTTACCAGCATTAGTTACGTGGATCATTGTAATTTGTATATGTAACTTAATTTATTTTCGAACTATTTTATTTAGCAGATTGAATATTAAGCAGCTTCAGTGTCAAAACACTGTAACACACCATAATAACAAATCCTCAACACTAAACAGACGAAATAGCCTAAGTTGTTTTCCACGGAATTTAGCCAGTTACGATAATGTAAAAACCATTCTTCTGAGTAACACAGAGATAACTGCAAACTAGTACTTAATTACAAGTGATATCAATATGTGTGACAGAAAAAATAAAGATTTTATGAATGGTCGAAATTCATAACTTCATGAACTTTGGAAGTGGAAAACGACTTTTTTCAAGCGGACCGGCCATTGAAAAAAAGCTTTCAGTCGTCGGGAGGGAAGTCCTCATCGGAAGCATCTCCAAGAAACGAACCGAGAGTCTTTTTCAAAATGCTGAAGGTTTTATCATCCTAGTTACCAAAAAAATTGTCACACAGATGCAATATGGAAAATATCAAATAGCAGGGCAAAAAGGAAAACAAGAAGATTTATTTCACCTGCTTCTTCTTCTTCAGGGATTCCTCAAGTTGAGCTATTCTTGCTGCATTTGCTTTCTCGTGTTCGGTTAACATATTCCTCTCTTTCTTCCCTGAGAGAAGTTTTTAAGAATTATTCTCGTATTTTCTCCATATCCAGAGTAACAAATGAGAAAAAAAGTTGCATTTGCTCACTTAGTTGTTCATATCGTGCAAATAGCTTTTCCTTCTCTTCTTCATATTTGGAAATTACATCTGTCGAAACACAAGTTAGATGTAACATCAAACAAGTTCAATTCGAGGCCGGTATTGCATAGTAGTTGAACAATACATTTAGTTACTCAATATATACAGTATACAGTCTGGCAGACATTCTTGCATGTGTAAATATAGTAGAGATGTTGTCGCTGTGCCATGGATACAATGTCCGACAGGGCAATACTTCAATGATTGAACTACGAAAGAATGAAAGTATTCTAGGTGTTCAGATTAGACCACCACCCTATTAAAACATCACATGAAAATAATTTTGCTAACAAGAACAAACGAATGTCTGAACCTCGTAACTTACGACGCTATATAGAGAAGTTCCGGTGGTATAACAACGGTATTTTCTCTATAACTTATGTGATGAAGTTTTGTATCGTAAAGAGCACCTAAATTAGGAGACGTCAATATATGCTGAATTTGAAAACGAATGTCCTGATTTCTATACTAATCATTTGAATGTAAATCAAATTCGGCATTTCCATCCAACTGTCAAAACATACTATCAGCTGACTGAAAAATCAAGACGTCTGTCTTTACATGCACGTTGCCAAGAAATATGAGAATTCATCAAACGAACAAAAATGTGGGCAAATTACCTTTCAGGGCCTGAAGATGAGCAGATTTCTCATTGGAGAACTTCTCATAAACTTCTTGGAACCTAGCAGTCTCACTCTTCAGCAAGTTTTCACACTGCACAGATGCAAAGACTTCCAGTCAAACTCAAGTATGGAAAGCGGTGCGATATTACAAGAATCGACCAATTCTCTTTCATAAGCGCAGTATGCGGACCTCTTTTGAGCTCTTTGAGAGTCCCTTAGCAAAATTTTGCCTGTAATTATTGTGAAATAATACGTTTAAATCTCGACTGGGGCAATAATAATAGACATGCATGTATGATGAACAAGGATGTCATTTCACCTTTCTTTCTCCAGTTTCGATTTCAACTCATCCAAATTTGATTTGATCTCTGAAGCCACACTGTCAACAAAACCTCATCAGAAACTGACTAAGCTATCTATTACTTGTAACCTTAATAACATAACTGGTACATGTCATAATTGAAGGAAAAGCAAACGAACACAGTAAACGACATTGATATTCTGGTTAACTAACTTATCTCACCACTGGAACAGATATCCACATGATTTTATAAAAGGAAATAAAAAGTGACTACGGACAATTTTGAAGTTCCATTCTTCTATTGACCATATAGTTCACATTTGCCATGTTCCCTGTTACCTTCCAATATTTATCGGGACGATAATGATCCAAAAAATCATTTAGTATCTATATTTCCCAGTTTCATTCATAATGAGCTTTTTAAACACAATGCTCGGTACAATAACTCATAACACCGGAGAAGTTAACGAATAACTGAAATGTGTTCTAATCCCAACTATTTCGCTTAATCAATGCTTTCAGCTATAACACAGAATTAAAATGCCCGATTAACAGGTTCCATGTTCTACGTCCGTAGTTGTAAAGCTGGTAATGACTTTGCACACAGAGATTAGTCATAAAGTATCACAAAATTTTAAAATTAGCAAAGAGAATCAGGCAATTAAATTCACATACGCTCAAAATATAATCACAAATGAAACCTCGCGGATCTAACAAATTGAGATCGGGACTCTGTTCTCGAAAAGGTGACCAAAGCAAAACTTCGTTTGAGATTAAAATAGATCCGAGTAGACGAAAACGAGCTCACATACAGATTTTTAAATTTAATCTAGAACAGAGAAAAAACCACATAGTTTTTCACCTTGAAATTGTCTCTTCGTTCTTCTTCTGACCATCTTTCTGCGCCTTCTCCTTGATCTGCTGAAGAGCGCTCATAATACCTTTAAGATCACTGCAAATAGTTCAGAACTTCGTCAATTTTAACTGGAAAAAAAATTTGTAGGAATAAAACACATCTAAATTAGCAGTAGAAGAGGAATCAGCTGCAGAATACGGACTTGGAGATCGCAGCGTCAAAATCATCGTCAACCATGACTCGCTTCCGCCGATCCGCCTTCACATTCTCCGACTCAGAAACTCGCTTCACGCTCGCTTTTGCCGCGGACATTGTGAATGTGTTCTCCTTACTTTTTTCAAATCCTCCAGTATGTACCGTACGTGTGTTCTCTGTTCTGTGCCTATATTAACTAGAGAGAGAAAAGATGAGAGAGAGGAGAGAGAGAGAAGCTGTATTTCAAATGGAGACGGTGCAAAATAAGTGTTTGTTATTTTGGCGGGAAATGAATGAATGTCGTGCCTAGAAAATATAAATATAATTTTATTTTAACAGGCCCAATTAGAAATATAGGTGAAAGTCATGACTAAAATGGCCCAAGATTAATAAAGTAACCGAGTTAGAAGTATTTAATAGGCCCAATTAGCAAAACCTATGTGATCATGAGTCCATCACACATTAGTCAAGTACAAACATACTAAAAAAAAAAGAAAAAATAATTTATCCTAAAAAAATATTAATATTTTAATTTGAAAATTAATTTCTCATAATTACTTTATCCCCAAAAATACAATTTGATATACTAGTAGTTGAACCTTCCTCATAACTTTTCAACCATTACTAGTACTTGCCACCGTACGTGTCGAACTCTTATAATTTACGATTCAATTAATCGTAAAATTGTAATTTATTCAACTTTTTTTTTTATTGTTTCTCAATTTTCTTTTGGAATATTCTAAAAGTAAGATTATGGACTAAAAATTCAACTAATGGGGCCTCTAAACACCAATTTATCAGCACAAGTTTCCACCGACCACACGTAGAATTTAAATGCAGCCACAAGATTATTATTTTCTTCTAGAAAATCTGGTTTCATTGTACTGCATTCACGGTCAGCAAGAAAATTCCAACACTTCTCTTCAATAAATTCCTCGGCATTTAACGAATTCGAGTTAGTCCTTTGGCCGAGAAATTTATATGTGGTGGAGTTTGTTTCTCGATTTTTTGCTTATTTTTCTTAACATCAAGACCTTTAGTAGTATGTTTGAACGGAAATGTACACGCATTTAATTCCTCAATTTGATACATTAAATTCTAAATTAGATACAATTCACGTGATTCTAATTCATGAGTCAATTTTATTATTAACTAAATAATTGGACTTTGTTTGATGTATGGTATCCCCGATAACTTATTAGTTCTACCACAAATATTATGATTCGATATATTTTACTGAGTGTTAATTATGACGAGGTAATATCTACTAATTAATGGTGTTCTAGAAGAAATCGCTTTCGGTACTAATTAATTACGCATTTGTTTCATAATGATTGTCATCATCACTACTAAGTACTAACCACCCACTCACATAATTCAATTAATCTCCTACGCTGATTTCACTTTCATTCATCTCATTGAATTTATTCCTACTTAATACCAACAATTGAAATTGATTTGAAAATTACATGCCAAGTATAATACTCCCAAAGGTGGCTGTGTTTTATTAATAAAAAATGGGACTGAAACACATTACTAGTCAATAATAATGTTACAACCTACAAGTGACGTACGGTGATTGATTGTATTTGTTAGGGTGATAATAATTAATTTTAGACCTTAGTATTTCATTATATTTATTAGTATCCATCAAATATGGTGTAGGATTTGCACCATCAAGACCTCCTTCCAAACTCAACTCTTTTGACCATCAAAAAATCCATCGAACGTCCGTCTTTCATCAGAGAAGATAAATTCGACAAACGAAAAACAGATATACAGAGAGAGAGAGAGAGTATGTGTTATACATTGATGTTACAATTATAACTCCAATAGGGCATTTACATTCATTTATAGAGAAGGTTTTCAATTACGCATTTTCTAATCTAGAATCTCCTTAATTGTCTGGTTACATTAATTGTTCAATTACGTTGCACGTTTTTTCTTATGTATTTAGGAAAAGTATATCCGAGTCTGTTCTCTTCGAAGGGCTCTGGTTCACCTCGTCTGCCATTTCTTGTGACTCTTTTTATGCAAGCATGAGAACTGAGATATAGCGGTGGACTTTACCGATGCAAGCTCTATAATGTTAAGCTCTTTGTCGACGAACATCCGACCCGACTTGATTCTTGTTATTCATTGGGCTTTTGATCCAATAAATTTAGTTTTAATGGTGCAGCCCAAACCAAACTGACCCATCACCCATGAAATATAACATTTGAAATAGGAGACTTAAGTCAACATGTCTAAACGATGGCGCATTAACTAATAATGACTGGGCAACCCTTCTAGAAGATCAAGATTATAAAATTAGGGTTTGTAAAACATGGGTGGGACCCACATAGTTATAACAATCTAGATGCGGCAAATATTGACAAAACACCCCCCACCCATGCTGATTTTGTTGCTGAGTTTGAGCAATTATTGAACACTCGAACATTTCTTCTAATTTTATTTTCAAACTTCTCATAGAAAACAATTGTTTCTTTAATTATAATTCATACCACTTTTCTGAAAAAAGAAGGCATCATTTTGATTTTTGAGAGATAAACCGTTGTTTATATTTATAACGTGATATTTTGGAGTTAAATTATTTAAATTTTGAGTTTAAAACAAAAAATCACATTATGGTTATTAATATTTTGGGCAATTACAGCTAACCCCTTAAAGTAAGGTCAAATTAATAAAACTCAATCATATTTGGGTGATTACAACTATATCCTTAAATTATATATTCACCACATGTCCAAATTTACAGTGTCAAATTTACTTATTAAATGAGAGATTTTTTCATAACAAAATACATATCTGGTGGGTGGTTGTAATTGCCTTAGGGATTGACTGTAATTACTTAAACATAAAAGATTATTTTTCGTAAATGTTGTACTTTTCTACTTCATCTGTATGAGTTAGCGGTGGAAATTGGAACAAAAGTTTTGCAGTCTGACGATTCCTATCCAATAATTCTTGGTTTTCGGATAATCGAAATTTTTTATTTTAATATTTTATTATTTTGATTAGGAGATGGAAATTTAACCCTTTGTTCATAGAAAATGACATTTAGATGAGAAGTAGCTTTCTAATTGGTAAAATTTTTCCATTTTCATGGTAGGTCTAGGACTAGAAGCGAGCTAGGCACCTAACTTTACACACTTAGAAAAATAATTTATTTTAGGACCGGCCACGTCAGCAAATGTTGTTTTCTGAAAATTTTGGATTTTTATTGAGAAAATTCTTCCAAATTAATTTATATAAAAACCCCTCAACCACCATAAGTATTTCTCATCAATTTCTCCTCTCTATCTCCATTCTCCAACGTGTATCCATCATTCCACCAAGGATAAGCTTATCTTCTCCCACAACTTAAATTCATTCACCTGATTATTTTTACTGGTATGTATTTCCTACTCAATTATGCTTTTTAATTCCATTTTTTTTGTGAAGAGATTTATTTATTTTAATCAGCTTCTTCATGTGTAGATAGCTCTGCTTTTTTTTTTTTTTTTTCTGTGTTTGATTTTCTTCAGACGACAAGTAATTAGCCGCGATCTGATGATTTGGAAGTGTGTTAGTGCTTAATTACTCCACAAAAAATGGTGTTTTTTTTTTTTGCCTTAGTCGGTGATCGTTATAAACTCTGAACGATCTTCAGTTTCATTAAGTTTTGCTGGTATTTAATCAGCTTATGTTGTGTTCTTCAAGCATTTATTGTTCTTATTTCATGCTGAATCGATTTTAGGTCAAATTATCATTATTTTCACCAAAATGAAAAATAAAAAATTATATTAGTAGTATTAGCAGAGCTGATAGATTTGGATCAGCTATTCAAGAGGAAATTAAGCTTTGGTGGTAGCTGGTAAATTTTGGAAGCTAACATAATATCTTATCTTTCTGATAATTGTCAGCTACCATATTTTAATAATTTAATAATTTATTATATAAAAACTTTCTAGACCAACGGCGGCTGACTGATTAATTATCATTATCCCTTTATTTTTTAATTCATTATCTTCTTATCTTGTTAGTGAACGTAGTGGTTGAATCCTTGTAATGGATTTGAACATTAAGAGAGAGAGAGAGAGAGAGTTGCAAAAACAGTGTTCTTAGTAGTCCTTAAAACCAGTGATCTTTACATATCATGCATTTTTACACTTAAAGATAGTGAATGTCGCTGAGTAATTATCGATCATCTGTAGCACGAGTACGATTTTAATAGTATTTATCCGTATAATTCCGCAGGTCATATGGCAGCATTTCAGCAGTATTTTGTGCAGAACTGGCAATCAATCCCCGCACAACCCACAGAATCGGAAAAAACCTCTGCTTGCTTCGATTGCAGCATATGCCTAGACTTCGCACGAGATCCAGTAGTAACACTATGCGGGCATCTCTACTGTTGGCCTTGCATATACAAATGGTTCGATTCACAAAGAACTTCCCTTTCTTCAGATGAGCTCCCTCAGTGCCCTGTTTGCAAAGCCGAAATATCTGAAAAAACGATGGTGCCTTTATATGGCAGAGGGCAATCCCTCTCTCAATCGGAAAACGAGGGAAAAATTATACCACCTAGACCACCTGCCCGTGGCATTAAGGGCCTCACAAACTTGATCATTCCTCAACGCCAATTTCCAGCTCGCGATTCTTATCAGAGCCCACATAATTTTCAAAATTCATACAACAGTTACGAGGGAGATTCGTCGCCACAGTTTGGTGAGATGGTTTATGCTCGAGTGTTTGGTAATTCACAGAGTTTATTCACGTACCCTAATTCGTACAACTCGGTTGTGAGTAGGACACCGAGGCTGAGAAGACAGGAGATGCAGGCGGACGAATCTTTGAGCAGAGTTTCGATTTTCTTGTTCTGTTTTCTTTTGTTGTGCCTTGTTGTATTTTGATCTTTATTTCAAATCAAGAACTCCTCTCCCTAGTTTGTAATTTGTATACACTGTACAGTAATGACATAATTAAAATGATAAATTTTTGCCTGAAATACTTTTATAATTCATGATCAAAAGAAGCACCCAAAATACCCCTCACCCTAACCGAATTTATCAACTCCTCTGCCTTTTCCATACAATTCCCACTCTCCAAATATTCCAAACAAGTGGTCAATGAATTCTTCTGAGAAATAAACTTACAAGGGATTACTGATATTGCCTTCTTCAATGCTTCCACAGAATCGGTTACTCGATTCTTTTTGAGATACCCTCCTGCCAAATGGCACCACGTTGCTACAGTCGGATTGCCACCTTTCAATACTTCCCTCGCTATAAAGGCTTCAGCTTCCTCCAAATTACCATCTCTACAGTAAGCATCGATCAAGAAATTGGGAACCCGAAAATCAAAGTGCGACCCCCTCGATTCCCACTCCTCGTAAATCTTCTCCATTCCTTCAACATCACCAAACTTCAACAACGAGCGCAACAAGCTACTGTAAACCTTATTACCCATCTTGCCCTTTTGCTTGCACACATCCCAAATTCGGTTCAATTCGTCTCTTTTTCCAGCTTCAGCATATAATCTGAAGAGGAGCGCCAAAATAACGCTGCTTTCTTTGGATGTTATCAACAGCCCCTCCAGTTTATCCAGTATGGGCAAAGCTTTATCGACTAAGCCCATTTTCAAGTAACCCTCTGCTGCAATAACATACGTCCTCCAATGCACAGTGCCATGTTTATCGGACTCCATAATCGCTACTATTTTATCCATCCCCACTGCATCTGAAGCTGAGGCGCACGTACTCAGGCAGACAGAGTGCGTGAATTGGTCGCAGGGGATGTTTTTAGATTCCATTTCGTTCAGTAGATGTTCCACCTTCTCCACGTGCCCTAATTTGGAATGGAGATTCATCATGAGGTTGTACCATATCGGTAAAGTGGCGTACCCCGAATCTCGAGCTCTCTGCATTACGGCTTCCGATTTAGCGACGGATTTGGCGACGGTGTAGCAGTTCAGAAGGGCGAGGTAGACGCTGGGTGCTTTCAGATGTTCCGGAACCTTCTTCAAGTAATCTTCCACACCTTCCAAACCGAAGAGTTTGAATATCAATTTCAATCTCATGGCAACGTCGACCGGAGCAACTGGAATTCGTCCTTCGTTTGTCATCCACAGAGACACCTGCGACAAAATATTCAATTGGGGGAAAAACAGATTCCCGCTTTATAAAAACCCTAACACCTGAATTTTATATTTTTTTCATAATAAAAAAAAGCAGTAAAAAACCTCAAGCGCGTGTTTGAATCTTCTATAAGCCATCAACTCTTTAATGATTCTGAGAATCTCCGATTTTTTAACGGAATTTCCTTCTCCGACCCACTGGTCAAGCACCGGCGCCATGGATTGGTTCGGGTCACCCAAAGGTGAGATTCTACTGTACAGAGAGGGCGAAACCGACCGGTTTCTAGAGAAACGGGTCGGGTCTGGAGTATTACTGAAGCACTGCATTCGTAATTGTTTATAGAGAGAATAAGCGCGTGCATTTTGTGGAGATGATACAGAGAAGAGCTTCATTGGAGAGAAGAAGATGGTGCAGCACTGCGGTAGAGAGAGAGAGTGTGTGTGTGTTTCTACAGAAGGGCTACTACTATTTCTATTTCCACGTGGCTGACGTGGACAAAACGCGACTTTGGTTTAAATTTGTGAAAATTGGCGAGTTTTTTACTAGAGAGAAACTGAAACGCGACTTTTGCTTTGGCGAGCATTTTATCTCCTCTTAGTCCTTTCTAATTCTCATAATTGCTATTTCGCCCCTCCCCCTCCCCGAAGCATAAACCCTCTAAAAACCCCCCAATTGATTTAGCTCTCTTCAAATCTGAAAATGATATCCAATAGAAACTCGTTCAAAGCCCTGATTCAGACGTACATCATCAGCAGCAGATGGTACTACTCAAAGAGCAACCAGAAGAACAAAGTGTCGCTGTACTCGATAATCAGCCCATTGAGAAACCCTAACGTGAATGTAACTCCGGAGCTCGAAAAATGGGTCGGAACGGGAAATAAAGTCCGATTCGCCGAACTTCATCGCATAATTGTCGATCTCAGGAAGCGTAAACGTTCTTCGCAAGCCCTACAGGTATACATACAGTCATGTAATTTTTAATATTAATATTATTTTTTGGGGGGTGTACTATTTTTACTCTGTTTTAGCTTCTTTCATGGTGAAATAAATCGTGAAATCGTTTTGCTGCTACAAAGATAATCGTTTTAGCTTATATGTATTTGTTGTACCTTGATCTTGTAAAATTGTATAGGATTCATGAGTTGGAATTTCTTCCTAATATCATATTCATGCGACGCAGGTTTCGGAGTGGATGAGAAGTAGTGGTAACTACACGTTCACGCCAGGTCAGCATGCGGTGCACTTGGATTTGATAGGAAAAATCCACGGATTCATGCAAGCAGAGGACTACTTCAATAGCTTGAATGAGGAAGATAAAACCGAGAAGGCATACGGTGCTCTTCTACATTGTTACGTTAGACAGCGCGAAACCGAGAGAGCACAGACGCATCTCAAGAACATGAAAGAGAAGGGCATTGCATTGTCTTCTGTAGCTTTCAACGACATTATGTCACTCTACTCCAATATCAGTCAGAATGACAAAATCCCCCAGGTCTTTAAACAGATGAGAGAAAACGGTATCGCGCCCGATAATTTGAGTTATCGAATCTGCATTAATTCTTTTGGAGTGAGAAATGACATCGAGGGTTTGGAGAAGATTCTGAACGAAATGGAGAGGGATGCCAACATTGTAATGGACTGGAACACATATGCAGTCGTGGCGAATTTCTACGATAAAGCTGGCATGACATCTAAGGCGAATATTGTTCTTAAAAAAGCCGAGGAGAAGCTGGATAAAAAAGATGGACTAGGGTATAACCATCTTATATCGCTCCACGCTCGACTAGGAAACAGAGACGATGTTTTCAGGTTATGGTCACTTGAAAAGAATGTCTGTAAGAAGTGTCTAAACAGGGACTACATAAATATAATGGAGTCTCTTGTAAGGCTTGATGAACTTGAGGAAGCGGCGAAAGTGCTCAAGGAGTGGGAGTCTTCTAAAAACTTGTACGATTTTCGAGTTCCGAGCATTGTTATTGTTGGATACATAGAAAAGGGTTTATGTAAAAAAGCCGAAGAATTGCTCGAGCATTTGATGGAAATGGGTAAGGCATCGACACCGTATATATGGGCGAAACTGGCAATGGGGTATATAGAGAAGGGTGAGATGGACAGTGCTTTGGAGTCGTTTAAAGTGGCACTCTCTTTATGTCACGGGAGCAAAGAGATTAAGCTTGATGATAAGGTGGTTATCGAAGTTTTGAGGTTGGTCGGTGAGAGAGGCAGCTTTGAAGATGCTGAGAAAGTTGTGAATTTGTTGAGATCTGCTGCACCGGTGAAAAGACAGATGTACCATGCTTTGCTCAAAGTCTTTGTCGATGGCGGTAAAGAAGTGGATGGGGTTTTAGGTATTATGAAATCTGATAATTTCGAAGAAGATGAAGAAACGATGAAGATTCTTTCTTCGGAGCAGGAATTGAAATTTGATAAATTATGAAATAAATTAGATGTTATTTAGACTTGAAGTCATTTTCACCTGATTTGAGTACTATACACAAAGCTGGCAAATCGTTTGTCTCGTCGCTGTGATATACGTTTCACATGTTCACGCCACATTGCCCGTCAAAACTACACGATTGAAAAATTTATCGCAACCAAAAAACAACTATGGGAAGAAAAAATTCTGCAAAAACAATCACCAAGCATTCATAAGTTAAAGAGTTTACGGAAGAAGAGAAAAAAAAACCCTGCAAACTAAAGGTGCAAAACATGGGCATTTTGCGAAACACCACACCACTATATCAAAAATACCAAGATGCAGAAATATTTTCTGTCGAAAATTAAGATTAATTTTACTCGGACAAAGTATCTTTCAGTTCGCCATTACTCGAAAGCTCCAGCACAATATCACAGCCTCCAATCAACTCCCCTTTGTAATACAACTGCGGAAAAGTCGGCCAATTCGAAAATGTCTTCAATCCTTGCCTCACCTCATCATCACTCAGAATATCGAAAGACCCAAATTCCACACCCTCTCCCCTAAGTGCATTCACCACCTTTGAGCTGAAACCACACTTTGGAGAATCTGGTGTACCCTTCATAAATAGCATCACAGGCGAAGAACTCACCAACTTTTTCAACCGATTCTCAATAGTCTCACCTGAAGTAACCCCTTTCTCAGATAGAACCTTCTTAAGCTCTCCACTCTTTTGCATCTCCAACACAATGTCCGATCCACCTATAAGCTCCCCCTTTATATATAGCTGAGGATAGCTCGACCAGTTCGAATACACTTTAAGCCCTTGACGAACCTCATCGTCGCTAAGAATATCGAAACTGTCAAACTCAACCTTTTCCTGTCTGAGGATATCAACTACCTTGCGGCTGAAGCCACACCGTGGTTCATCGGGTTTTCCCTTCATGAATAAAATGACCGGGGCTGAGTTAACCAGGGTTCCCAAACGCTCGGTCGTAGCTGTACTCAATCCTGATGGTTCAGTGACGCCGCCCTTTCCAAGATTCGGTTCAGCGAGTTTCCCCTCGTTTGAATCAGTAATTTGAATTCCATGGTCTCTAAAAACCTCACCAAGTTCCCCACTTTCGTGCATAGCAATTGCGATATCACAACCACCGAGGAGTTCTCCCTTGCAGTACAGCTGGGGAAAAGTCGGCCAATTCGCAAACTTCTTCAATCCCTCACGAACTTTGCTATCGGATAAGATGTCGAAGCTTCCGAATTTGACGTTTTCTTTCTTCAAGATGTCAACTACTTTTTGACTAAAGCCACACTGAGGCGACTCGGGGTTGCCTTTCATGAAAAGCATGATTGGTTGAGAATTAACCAGCTGCTCAAGTCTCTTTTTCAGCTGATCACCTGTACCAGAAGACAGCTGTCCACTATGATGAGATGCACCGTTGTCCTTTGCAAGTTCTCGGACAGTTTCGAGAACAGTGGGTCCAGCAGCCATCCCAAGGCTAGCAGGAGCTGCAGGTTCTCCAGGTTTGATAGATCCTGCAACTTTAGCAACCTTGTTTGCCAAACTTGATGGATCTGCGCCTTCCAATGTATCCACTGCCTTGCCTTCCTAATGGAACCAAAACAGTTCATCCAAATAAAATAGCTGACAATACGTAAAATTTGAAATTTTAAGGGCTTTAACCATCAACTTATAGAGAGTATAAATTAGAACTGCTTTCATCAATTTCGAAATATTTTAGGATGGTTTTGCTTCATCATATTCAAAAGCTATGTAAGAGTTTCTTGAAATAGTTTGTATATGCTCCAATCGAGTCACTTCGCACAACTGATGCTAAACTATCCTGATTTTCCTACAGAACACTTAATGCCTTGCATGCAACCTTGTAAGAGAAAGAGGAGACAGATAAAAAGGGTTATATGCTCGTACCTTAAAGAATACAAAGTAAGGTACAGCGGACACCGAGTATGCCTCCGAAATTTCTGGCTGCTCTTCAGCTTCTACCTATAATATCAGAAGAAATTATGTCAGCAAGTCATCCAATACAAGCAGAAATTTTCCAAGAGCATTTTCATCTAATCAATGGTTCTATAATGGACAGGTTCAGGAACATTACATGTTTTTCACAAAAGCAAGAAAGTGAGCAACAAAACAACATGATTACTAAACAAGAGAAAAAACAAAAGAGTGGCAAAACAAATGATAGTAAGCCTCGGTCAAAGTGTAACCTCAGTTTCCAGACTAACATACACAAAAATATTCTTACAGAGGATTATGTTTATAAACAATATCAACCTTTGTTATCCCTGCACCAACCAAAAACAGTCTAATTTGCAACCGCTCTCATCTTCCATGAAAAAAGAAAGAGGCAATACGAGATCAAAGTCCCACTTCTTACTTAGGCCTGAGCTCGTAATTATCACGAAGATAAAGAAGAGATGCAGTATCTGCACCTCTAAACCCCAGCAATTTATTCGCCATGTTAAGCATCCAAATAAAATTTTCCACTCTCCTCTTCTCTTTTAAAAGTGAATAATGTAACTTTCTATCAAGGAATTATAAAAAACAAACAGTCACCTTCAATAGTTGCTTCACAAAAATATGATTTAAATCAAGTAAATACCAATTAAACCATGAAATTCGATCAGATTCATGTATGTTACTCAGACAAGTCAAATAATGCTTCAAATTCCCCACACCAAGCCGAAAACTCTCATTTGTTCCTCTACCTCGAAGTTGAAACCCTTAATAATCAAGCAAAGTCCTTTGAAATCAGAAAACAACAATAACAACAACACATCCCATCAAATAATAGCATAATCATAATCAATCACGCAGCCATACTTTCATATCGCTAATAAGTTAATAACCCCTTAATTAAGCAAAATGGAGTAAATCAAATTTCCAAACACCTACGGACAGAAACAAAAGAAGAAAAAAAATTGCACAAGTGAAGAATATGGTGATATATACCCTAAGGAAGCGAACGAGAGGGAAATCAGTGGAGAGGTGCGAGAAGAGTTGATCCATGTGCTTGGAGGCATCGCACCACGACGCCCAGAAGTGTAGAATTACAGGATTACCCTCGGCAACGAGGCTGTCGAGTTCCGCCTTCGATTTCACCTCCTTCACCGCTCCTCCTCCGCCGGCTGCCGCCATAGTTCTCAAGGAGGTTCTGTTCTGTGCACTGACTTGGTGTTTGAGAGAGCGAATCTACGCTGCTTTGCCCTCGTCTCCTTTCTACTATAAAGAGAATGGGCGTTTTGTTTGTTCCCACTGCTTTTTTTTGGTTCTCTTTTTTGGGGAAAACGCGATTCTTATTCTTTTCCAAACCACGATTTAGACTCATCGAATTGATATCCACGATAGCAATTTGATATTCGATTTAACAAAAACAAAAAAAAAAAAAAAAAGAACCGGCGTAAATAATGTATATCTTTTATTGGTCACAATAATTAACAATTTGTTGAAATTTAAAGATAATATATGTATCGAAAAATTTACACATAATGATTCAAAATATCATTTTTTTAATTGAAATTAATATCACATCGAGTACTAAACAAACAAAGGCTTAATTCCACTTTGCACCCTTGAAATATACCATTTTGGCACTGTGCACCCTCGAAAAAATTTTATAGCACTTTGCACCATCGAAACAGAATAAATTATGCATAATGCACCCCAAGTGAACTTTTAAAGCTAATAAATGTAATTTAATATTTTTTGTTGCATTTTTTTAGGATGACTAATGTCAATTTTAAAAATTGTCATGAATACACTTCTCTCCATGTGAGAGGCCTTTTTCTTCTCTCAGTATGAGAGGCAGTCCAATGATCTGATTCTAACGTGTTCCTTATTTCTTCATCCCTATTTCTCTAGGACCTAGTGATTTGATCGTGTGTATTGCTTTGTCTTTTTAGATAGCCGTAATCTTGTTTTTATTCTAGGTTTTTTTATAGATCTAGGGTTTTGTTTTTCTCCTTCTTTTTCTTGTTGGCTCTATATTCTCGTGTCTTTATTTCATTATTTTACCTATCTTTCGTCTGCTCTCCCTATTTTCCAGATCTGAAGGTTTTCCCTCGCCGCCACTAGCTGTCTCCCCTCATCTTGGTCCCTCATCTAACTCATCTTCTCGAATTATGGAGAGCTTGTCGGAAATTATGGCAAGAAACTTGTTCCTCACGGCAGATGAAGAGGAAGGTGTCACTGTTAACCCTCTGATCTCGTTGCCTCAGTCTTCATCTTCGGGTTACCAGTTGATAGGGCGGATCGTAGCTTCACGAGAAATATCGGCCCACACGATAAAATCCAATGTTCTTCGCATCCTCCAGCCGGTAAAGGCATGTGACATTAAACCTTTAGGCCCGAATCGTTTTGCTGCAAGTTTTGAACACATGCTGGATTACGTTCATGCTAAAAATGGATGTCCGTGGTTACTGGATAAAAACGCACTCTTATTCCAAGATCTTGTATCAGGTTCCGACCCCATCACTATGGATATCCATATGATGACAATAGTGATCCGCTTACATCATCTTTCTATAGATCAACGAACCACTCATATGGCAACACTGATTGGAGAGAAGATTGGCGAATTCATTGAGATACTCAATCCTAAACAAATGGCGTTCCACCGGTACGTGCGAGTTAAAGTCCGAATTGACGTCAACAAAAGCCTGAAACGAGGGATGAATCTTCATAATCCGGACGGTACCAAAAATTGGATTGCTTTTACCTATGAAAGACTACCCAATTTCTGCTTTTTGTGTGGTCTTATTGGTCATGGGGAGCAGCGTTGCGCAGCGCGCTACGAGGATAACTTCATCGACCCGGGTGACAAACTTCCTTATGGGACGTGGCTGAAATCTACAGAAGGGGAATATTTGAGAATACCTTTACAAGCAGTGAACACGGCTACGATCGGTGCAGGACAAGTACTCTCTCAATCCGATCAACGAGGTGCCAATATTTTTGATTTTGCTGCTCGTGTTTCCACACCTACTCTAACGGGGACCCCGTTGGGAGGGAAAGAAAATAACTGTGATTATTTCGGAGATGAATCTACACTGGTCACGACCTCGATCCAACTTATGGCTGCGGGTAGCGCCAATAAGTCGAATCGTCGCACAGTTAACATATCGAGTAAGAACAAGAAAAAGAAGGCCGACGAGGCCGGGATTACCGACATAAACAGTTCAGGAAAACGACCACATCTATGGCTTCAAGATGAGGAAAAGAACTCAACGGCGGCGACTGCAGCGCAGTCCCGCCGAGAGCAATGAGTTGCATATTTTGGAATTGTCAAGGGCTCGGGGCTCCCTTGACAATTCACACGCTCGGAGATATTCTCCGAGATCATCGGCCCTTGCTCGTGTTCCTCTCGGAAACGAGGGCAACACCTCAACTCATTGAGAGAATCAAGAAAAGATGGAACTTGCATGGCTTGGGAGTAGATAAAGTAGGTAAATCAGGAGGCCTTGCGCTTTTTTGGCAGAAGGGAATCGAGGTTAGTCTCCTCAGTTACTCAAGTAACCATATCGATGCGGAGGTTTATGAGAAGAACCATAACAGCAAATGGCGAGTAACTGGTGTATATGGCTATCCGGAAAAAGACAAGAAATACCTTTCATGGGAAATTCTTCGTAGGTTACGTGATCATAGTACATTGCCGTGGATGTTGGGTGGCGACTTCAACGAAATTTTGAGCAACGATGAAAAAATAGGAGGTCCCACGAGGCTGCCATCTGCCATCGCAGCATTCCGGGAGGTTCTTGACGTGTGCAATTTGTCGGATTTGGGATTTGAGGGGTCACCTTTTACATGGTCCAACAATAGACTCTACCCTCACACAGTGCGCTGCCGACTTGATCGGGTTTGCGCGAATAATGATTGGATGACATACTTCCCGCATGCCAGAGTTATGCACCTGGACTATTCAGGCTCTGACCATATCCCAATCAAACTTTTACTCGACGAACAAAGTACAGCTCGTCGCTCGAGGAAGAAGCGTCCGTTTCGGTTTGAAGCAGCATGGCTCCGTAGAGAAGATTGCGAGGACATCATCCACCAGCAATGGGTTGAACGTTTGAGTTCCGATCCTATCGAAGATCTTCTTCGAAAAAATGGCGAGTGCCGACTTGCTTTGATCAATTGGAGTAGAAAGGTAATCAAGCAACCACGGAAACAGATCGAAGCGATTCATAAAAAAATCCATGATCGTCTCGCTCTTATTCAAACCGAGGCAATAAGAGAGGAAATCCGTGTGCTAAGGGCGGAGTTGGAAAGAGCGTATGAGGACGAAGATATGTATTGGCGGCAACGGAGTAAAATCCAATGGATCCGAGAAGGAGATAGAAATACGCGTTTTTTCCACTCAAAAGCTACAATCAGGAAACGCACTAATGTGATGACCAAGTTGAAAAATAGTGAGGGTTGCTGGAAAGATAGAGATGCCGACATTGAGCAGATTATCACAGACTATTTTGAGCAAATCTTCAAGTCCACTAATCCTAGGGAGGATGAGATAGATGAGGTGCTTGAGAATATTGAGGCCAGAGTCAGCGGGGCAGCAGGGCAACTTCTGTCTTTGCCATTCACTTCGGACGAGGTAACTCGAGCCATTTCCCAAATGGGTCCCCTTAAATCTCCTGGCCCAGATGGATTACCTGTCGTCTTTTTTACTAAATTTTGGCATATTCTAGGGTCTAATGTATTATCTTGTGTTCTTGATTTCCTTAACAACCGCAAACTTCCACCTTCTATGAATTTTACTTATATTGTCTTGATCCCCAAAGTAAAAACCCCAGAAAAAATCACTGATTACAGACCAATTAGTCTTTGCAATGTTATTTATAAATTTGGATCCAAAGTCTTGGCTAATCGGTTAAAACTTGTGCTTAATGATTTGATCTCACCCACCCAGTCGGCTTTTGTCCCCAAAAGACTTATAACCGACAATGTTCTTGTAGCTTTTGAGGTCAATCATTTTATTAAACTCAACTCCAAGAAAAAAACGAATTACATGGCTATCAAACTTGACATAAGCAAGGCATACGATCGAATTGAATGGATCTTTTTGAGAAAGACCCTCTCCCGCCTTGGCATTCCCTCTGATTTTATTGAGTTAATTATGTTGTGTGTTTCTACAGTCTCATTTTCCTTTCTATTTAATGGTTCTCAGTTCGGGTCCATGCTCCCTTCGCGAGGCCTTCGACAGGGCGACCCGCTTTCACCGTACCTGTTTATATGTTGTGCAGAAGTCCTGATTGGTATGATTTCCAAAGCTACAGAGCGCGGTGACTTTAGTGGCGTTAAAGTGGCCCCGACTGCGCCGATCATCTCCAACTTGTGTTTCGCAGATGATACCCTCGTCTTTGGAGAAGCTACTGTAACTTATGCAGCTTATTTGAAGGGGATTTTGTCCAAATATGCACAGGTATCCGGGCAGGAAATCAACTATGAAAAGTCTACAATGGTCTTTAGCCCGTCCACACCGCGAAGCTTACGAACCTCTATATATCACATCCTGGGATTTCAGGTTGTGGAGCGGCACGACAAATATCTCGGAATGCCGGCCTCCATGGGAAAAACCAAAAAGGAAGTCTTCTCTTTTCTGCGAGACCGTGTATGGTCAAGAATCAAGGGGTGGGGGGAAAAACAACTCTCGAAAGCAGGGAAAAAGGTCCTCATCAAATCGGTTCTGCAGGCGATCCCCTCATATATCATGAGTTGTTTCATGTTGCCGAAAGGATTACTTATGGAAATTGAGGCAGCTATTCGACGGTTTTGGTGGGGTAACGGGACTAGCCGAGGAATAGCATGGACATCGTGGCAGGAGTTGTGCAAGTCTAAGGAGAAAGGGGGCCTCGGTTTTCGCAATCTTCGTAGTTTCAATATTGCTCTTCTCGTTAAACAGGCGTGGCGCTTACTCATTAATCCATTCCACCTGCTGGGACAAATTCTTTCGGCGAGATATTATCCTCAAGGACGTCTTTTGTCGGCTCCATTGGGGTCACGACCGTCCGCCACTTGGCGTAGCATTTGGAGTGTGATCCCTTATCTTAATCTTGGTATTCGACGTCGAGTTGGTAATGGAATCGAAACTTCTATTTGGGCGGACCCATGGCTAAGCGATGGGGGCAGTTTCAAGGTAATTACTAGACGCCCCCCCGACTCGGCTTTCCCTAATCGGGTTTCGGATCTTATGGCTGCTGACTTACAATCATGGAATGTGAATCTGATTCAAACTACGTTTTGGCCGGTTGATGTTGATCGTATTTTGGCTATCCCGGTGGGAGGAAGCTCCGTGAGAGATAGATGGATTTGGTACTTTTCTAGCCACGGGAACTTCACGGTCAGATCATGTTACCATCATATCATTTCATGCCCTTCACCTCTCGGTCGTCATCGTGTAATTGATAATGGTTCAAGTAGTGGAGTGAGCATTCAGAACTGGAAAGAAATCTGGAAGATTCCCATTCCCCCGAAAATTTGTGTTTTCTTATGGCGTTTCAAAAAAAATTTTCTCCCGACCAACGCCGAATTATTTCGGAGGAAAATCTGCCCCTCTCCTCTCTGTACAGCATGTAATGGCGGCGACGAGACGATATTACATGTGCTCCTTCACTGCAGAGGAATGGCGGAAGTTTGGAGAAGTCACCCGTTCGACCTAGCCCATGACCTCACTTTCTCTTCGACTCGGCATTGGGTGGAAAGTTTGCAGCATCTGCTTGACAAGGAAACTTTCATTCTAGCATTGGTGGTTGCATGGAAAGCTTGGGATAATAGGAACCTAGATATGAAAGGTGAGAAGTACTTGCTATCGTGCGAGTTGGTGACTTGGAGTTGCAATTATTTGGCAACGTTTAAGGCAGCTCAAATTCGACCCAATGCCAACCTTACACAGCTGCACCCAAGCGAGTGGATCCCCCCTCCACTAGATGTGATCAAATTGAACTTCGATGCAGCACTTCCAATAGGTAAAAAATTTCTAACTACATCTGTTGTGGCAAGAAACAACGAGGGTACATGCATGGGATGGAAAGTGACAAGGCTAGACGGAAACCTCCGCCCAGTGGAAGGAGAAGCTCTCGCTGCATTAAGGGCTATTGTTTGGGCTAAGGAAAAGGGATGGGAGAACGTCATTCTAGAAGGAGATTGTATCCAAGTAATCAACGCCCTTCGTAATGGAGAAGCTGAATTTTCGTCGTTTGGATCACTAGTTGAGGAATGTTGTTTTGTTGCGAGTACCTTTAACTCGTGTAATTTTATGTTTATCAAGCGTGCAGGCAACTCTTTAGCTCATTCTATTGCTAAAATTCCTTGTATCGACTATTTGGAGGGCTTCAACCTTCCTATGAATTTGACGGATGTCGTCTAATAATATGTCTTTTATCTCAAAAAAAAAAATGTCAATTTTTTTTTAATTCATCAATTATTTTGAAACTATAAAGCGCATAAATAAAAATACATCTCATCAAAATATTTAAAAATTATACTTTTTATCCCAAAAAAATATTTTACGAAAAAAAATCCTTCAGCTATTTCGTTATCAAGTTATCTGAAAATCATATTTTCTTCCAAATATTTTTACCTAATATTTCCACTAGTTACAATAAAAAAAAAATACATCAATATAATTGAATAATTTAGTGATAAAAATTTATTTTATTTTATTTTGTAAGATAATCCGGTGTTTTTTTTTCTCACTCTGTGCGCTCGAAATTAGGTTGTAGGTTGAAGAAAATAGTATTTATTTATTTATTTTGCATCCCCGATAAAAAAAACACCAATAAAAAATAAAATTGCCTTCATTATTCAATTCAGAGTGCAATGTAAATGATTTGTTGTGTTTTGAGGGTGCAAAGTGCTATTATTGTTTTTCAAGAGTGCAAAGTGCCAAAAGGCTCAATTTCAAGGGTGCAAAGTGGAATTAAGCCAACAAACAAATATTCAATATCCAACCATTGTTGAATCTGGAGAAGACTATGTGTAGCACTATCGTCTGAAATTTTTCGTATTATAGCCAGTTATTTATGTTTTGCAGGATAATGAAGAGATATTCGACATTGATTCATTAATACTGTGTGCGATCATCTAAGTTGTACAGATGAATAATAATTAATATATAAATTAGTTAATATTTTCCTGAATTAATATTTTTTTAATTAATTTTTAGAGATTTAATGTATTTAGAAAATGACTAATTTTTATTTTTATTTTGAGAGGAGAAAATGACATTAAATATTAATAAAGAAAAATTGTATGATCACCACGATTTGGACCTGCACATTAAGTTCATCTGGGCCAGAACACCAGGCCTGGTTATATTGAAATTGAACATATAGGCCCACTAGGAATCATTATTATGAGCAAAAAGCCCATAATCTGTTTTCAGCTTTTACCACTGAATTCGAGTGCAAGGTTAGTTTTTCCCCCATTTTTCTTATATTATTTTTAGCGTAAATTACAATTGCCCCTGAGATAAGATCGAATTAGGTAAAATCATCTCTTACAACCACTCTCAACTATGTATTGTCTTGCACGCCTCTCCACTTTTACAGTGTTAAATTTACCTATTGTAGGATGGAGTTTTCCGTAAAAAAACACATAGTCGAGGGTGTGGTTGTAATTATCCAAATAGGGGGACTTTTCGTAATTTAATCTTTACCTCACAAGTTAGAGCTTATTGATGGACTAAACATTGAAACATAAAAAAAAAAAAAAAAAAAAAAAAAAGGCAAAAGCACATAAATAATTAGTCTCCTTCAATTAGAGTAGTAGCATTAGCCCAATTAGCAGCACTATCAGTTCGAGGTATGCTGTGAAATCTGGTCAACAGGTCAACTTGAAAAACAACACCACTTATATTTCCTTCATCATCCTCTTGAGCTATTCCTCTCACCTTATGCATAGGATGATCAAAACTCATTAGCCTCTCCCCTCCAATAAAAATGCACCCTGCAGTTTAATTTAATTTAATAATAAATTAAATAAATAAAAAGGATTACAATATTAAAAAAAGATTAATAAAGAAAAAAGGGTTTTTTAACCAGGAGGAAAAGGGGTGTAGCATTTCCCACAAGCTTCAGATATGACATTTGGGTCATCAGTGCATACTAAAGAACCATCATCTGCAATTCCCCAGTGAAGTTGCACCGATCCGTCACGGTCCTGCGTTATTTTATTTAACATAATAATCTCGAGAAAAATCGACAAATAAAAAAAAAATTGTATTATTATTGTTATTATTACCCTGGAGAGGAAAAGTGTTGAGGCTTTGGAATCGAAGAGGATAAACGAGAATTTTCCTTCGAGTTCTTTGACGACCTGGTCGGGCGGATAGGGTGCACGGTCGCGTAAAACTCTATAAGCCTCGATTACGATCATGGCTTCTGTGGCTTGTCTTGATAGACCGTAGTGCCTTCTCAGCTCACAAGTGTTGTACAGTGCACCGGAGAATATGCAGAATATATCATCCATCACTACTATACTTCTGCTAACAGTAACACGAATGATTATCAAGAATACCACAATCGATAAAATCAAATACTGAAAGAATGTGAAGGGAAAATTTACCTCGGATATACTGGATTTTCACCTTCATGAGACAGAGCCAAGAAGTTGGAGTCGGAGAGGCAGTAGAAAGTTGAATCCGATCTCCATGAACGGAAGGTTTCTGCGATTTCTTCCGGAGAGCCGTTCAGACACTTCCTCCCCACCGCCGGAAGACTCAGTTCTATCGGTGGCTTACCGATGGATTTCTCGAAAACGGCCAACATTTTAATCCAACAAATATAAAAAAAAGGACTAATAATATCTGGTGATGGTGATGGTGAAGAAGATGGTTGCAATAGTATATATTCTTATCCAAATACTTAACCTTTTTTGCAACTGAAAACAAATGAGGGCTGACTGAGTGACGTGCTACAAAGTAGGTGGCACATTACTACCTTTGTTCACTTGTGATTGAGGATGTACGTGTAATAACCTGAGCAGAAACTGGAGTACAACAATTATGTATATAAAAATAAATGCAAAATCTGCAGCTGCAGCTAATCATTTCACGGTATTCGAGAAATAAATATGGACTCTTGTGCATCAGAGAGCCTGATGAATACAAATAACCCTGCATCAAAATTAGCTCAATCCAATGGTGGGTGATGATATTCACGTGCTGAGTATTGACACTGAAGCTTGTTCTTTATGTGGGACCACTACAATTTATTCAGAAGGCAAATGAAAAAAAAAATTATATCAATAAAGAAAATATGGACGAAGATATAATAGCATGAACAATTTACTATACATAAAAAAGTATTTGAAGTCAATCTCAAGATTCGAAGAAAAATGGCACTTTCTTGTAAGATTGATTGTAAGAATAATTCACTTGATGTAGGCAACTGTACAGCCATAATTCATCGGGCTTTCCTGTTCAAACTTTGCGATGAGTGGGTGTCTATCGAGTAGTTCAAGCACGTGCTCCTTCAAAACTCCACTGCCCATTCCGTGTATTATGAAGAGAACCGAATTCGCCCCTCTGCCATTGATAGCCATGTTGACATGCATAGTAGCTTCCTCGACTCTCATACCCCGCAAGTCCACGGTGTTCTTTGATGTCTGTACTACAGGGCCATAAGAACCTTCCTCGTTTTTCATGGTTTCTGAAAGATTTTTCAGATTCTTGAGTCTCTTCTTCGGCTGGCCCTACAACATCAAGTACAAGATTCCTTCACATAAATCTCAATAAATTTATGTTTTTTTATACATAGGTCTACGAATTTGGATATACGTTATTGGCTAAGAGCAAGAATCATCGGTCACATGCATATTAGATTGCAAATTCTAATGCAGTCTTTACTGAGAGAAATGATGCTACCAAGAGAAATATACCTGTCTAACTGAGCGCAGGGCTGAAGCTACAGCATCACCACCGTCGGCAGGAGAATCTATGTTGTTTATGTCTAAGCGAACTTTGATTTTACCATATTGGACAAGGACCGTGTTATCATCCGACGGTGCTTCAACAACAGTTGCCAACCTATTTCCTAAACCCTTTATATTGACTTTCTCTCCAATTTGTGGTATACGTAAACGACTAGCGGTTATATCAACAGGAACATCAAAGGAAGGCTGATGAGCTTGGACAATGGATCCTATAGCAGATTCTGCTTTCTTCAAAATCATGTTGAACTCTATGGGGTCGGCGCTTGTCAGTTGCTCCTCGAACTCGTGTAATATAGTATCAATCTCGGCCTTCACAACCTCTAATTCCTGTTGAGAATGTTGTGTTTCCTTTGCCTTGAGATCTGCCTCACGCTTATCAAGGTCATCTGCCTCGTCACGAATCTTCAATACAAGAACAGAAAATTAAACAAAAATAGACTGAAACATAGTTATCCCTTAAAAAACTCGAAGCGAAAAATTGCAAGATTTCAATCGTCTACAAGCATTTGGAAATCTTACCTCATAATAAAGTTTCAATATGTCTGAATGAAGAGAGATAGCTCTTTCTGCCTGAGTCTTTAGTTTATTTCTCTCTTCAGCTAGAGACTGATACAGCAGACTATTAAGCTTCTGCATTTTTTCCGGCGTTAACTTTTTTACCCAAGATTTTGCCTGCTCGATTATTTTTTCATCAAAACCAATCGTCTTGGCGATATTCAATGCATTTGATTCGCCCATGCTTCCCCAAAGAATCTGATATGTAGGCTGTAGACTCTCCAGGGAAAACTCCATTGCTGCATTTTCAAACCGTGCATCGTTTTCTTTTAAACGAGTTAAATCTGCATAATGCGTTGTCACAACAGCCAAACTTACTCTGTCTTTCAGATATTGCAATATGCTGGCTGATAGAGCCACGCCCTCTGAAGGATCAGTCCCGCATCCAATTTCGTCAAGAAGGACGAGAGATCTTTCAGACGCCACTTTCAGGATTTTACAAATCCGAGATATGTGGCCACTAAAAGTCGAAAGACTTTGTTCTAGAGACTTCATATAGACACAGATAATTTTACGTCAGTAGGTATTCTATATCATAAAAGAAACAAGAAGATAGTGCAATGGCAAATTGAGGGAATCAATTACCTGCTGATCGCCAATATCTGCAAGAACAAGATCAAACCAAGGAACTTGTGGATGGTTCCGTGCAGGGAGGTACATTCCAGCTTTCGACATTACAGAAGCCAACCCTAGAGTTTTCATGGAAGCAGTTTTACCTCCTGTATTTGGTCCTGAGATCACAACCACTTTTACTCCATTTCCAATTTTCATGTCAACCGGCACAGGAAAACTTAAAGCACCAGCCTCTCTGGAGGGTATTCTGATGTCAATTTCCTGATCCGAAAGACCAGAAGGATTTCTAAGTGACGACTCGAGAAGCAAAGGATGTTGCATGCCGTCTATATCTACTAACAACGAGTTAGGCTCAGAATTCTGAAAACTTTCAGAAGTGAAATTTGGACAGACCCCGTCGATCCACCTAGCATGAGCAGCTTTTGTGAAAACAAGATCTAGTTCCAGTACCCGATCTAACAAATAATTGATCTGTCTACTCGATTCCGCAATTTCAGCACTGAGCAAACTTAAAATGATTTCCTCCTCCATTTTTTCAGCATTTGATAGCCTGACTTCCATATTATTCAAATCAACTGCCTCCCTTGGTTCCATAAAGTAAGTTGCTCCAGAGCTGCTAGAGTCTAATATTACTCCATGAGGAAGCAAAGATCTATGGCTGGTTCTGACGCCAACACACATCCTTGACCGTCGTTTCGTAACAAGAGGTCTGTCGATTCCACCGGCCTGAAAAATTCGAGCAGATATCTGCTTGAGCAGCAACTCCAGATTTTCCATGTTTGATTTCCTTTCTGACCTAATTATTTCCAGTTCTTCACTAGCTTGGTCGCGGACATTTGAAAAACTACAGTCCACACAAAATTCTATCTTCTTCTCCAGTTCCACTAGAAAATCGCACTTTTGAAGAATTTCAAGCAGCGGAGAGCACCTGTTAAATATAAGATATACAGAACCCAATGAATTACAGGCCAACTCAATAATTTAGAGGAAAACTAGGGTTAACTGCTCCAATTTCCATCACTTTCATTTACTATTTCCATAGCGTTAATAATAAAAATCGAGCAATAACAAACCTCGAATTGTTGTGAGATGAAATCTCCTGCAACTGTTCGAACAATGATCTAGCCGATCTTAGCGTCCTACGAACAGAGCAAAGCTCGGCGATCGAGAGCATCCGACCGGCAACGGATTCGTCAACAATCGGAGAAACATCTTCGATCCCGGAAAAATCCAACGGCCGAGGGATTGCCACGGCGGCGGAGGTCTGGGCCAGGAGACGCCGGCTCTCACTCGGGCTTCGTCCAAGTGGAATACTCGCGGACTGTGCCGCTTTGAGGCCCATGGATGTGGAGGTGAAGGCGGAGAGCTGGGTGCAAACGGACGGCCATTCGAGGATTTTGAGCGTCTCGAGTTGGAGCGACTCGGCAAGTTTGACTCGCTCGGTCTCCGGCTGACCGGATAGGGAAACGTAGGAAGTGGTGGTGGTGGTAGGGAAGAATTTCCGGTGCGGCGAGAAAAGGAAGTTGTGGCCGAGTTTCATGGAAGGACAGCCGGCAAGATTTGAAAAATTTCTCTCCCTATCCGAAAAGAAAAACACAAAGGAATGGCGTGGGAAAATTGATCTTACAATCCACGTGGACACCTCTGAATAAATATTTGCTTTATATATGTGGGCCTGGTTTGGCCCGGCCCGTAAAAAGTTGGCCCACAAATTATTTAAAAAGTATACACACACTGATTTATATGGCCCAGCCCAAACGCTATTTGCTTAACCTGGTCTCGGAGTATGTAAACTTAATTTCATTTTTTTAAAGTCAATATTTGTGATCATAATTCATAATCACAATAAATTACAATATACCCAAATTAAAAAAAATAAAAAAATTTATTGGGCTGCAAAATTCATAATATTTACACTTGAGCCTTGATAAATAAAATTACTGCCAACCAGGATTGGCAACAACCAAATAGCAGAAATCTAATCTATTTCACTATCTCCAGGACAACCATCTTTTAAGCTTTAAGCCAGCCTATGTAAAAAAAACCTGATACAGAAAATATAACAAGTTAGACTTCAACAAGAAATCGTATTATACACGAACCACGTTTTCTTTTTACACATACCTTTCATTTAAGCCAATATTGGGACGCCACAAGCAACACGAGCATGCTTCCCATCTTGGTAAACAAGGTTACCTCTAACAAATGTAGCTAAGACCTTTCCCCGGAGTTTCGATCCCATGTATGCTGATATATTCTGCATGAATTAATCATTTTTTTTATTAGACTCAAATAAATAATGAAAAAAAATAACAAGTTAAATCGTGGTTAATGGCAAGTTTACCCGGTGCTTAAGGTAAACGGGGTGATTATCATCGAGTTGAAATTCTACTTCAGGTTCCCATACTGCAATGTCTGCGTAATTTCCTGTTACAATGGCTCCCTACAGAAAAAATAAATTAATAAATAAACTTAAAATGATATTAGTTCATATAATTTTCAAGAATAATTTAATTGTCACCTTCAAATCTTGGCCAGCAAGTTTCGCGGGCTTCTCACTCCACCACGAAACTAATTGATTAAGACTAATTCCGTATTTAAGTCCGTACGACCATGTCACAGGGAGAACAAACTACAAGATACACTCAAAACAATGGCAATTTCTATTTAGCAGTTGATAAAAACAAAATAAACAAGATTTCAAAAAAAAAAGGGTGAGTTTTATTTTTATGCGCACCTGCAAAGAAGATATACCCCCCCACGCCCTGAGAAAGTCACCCAGATATATATATATATATATATATACAGAGAGATATATATATATATATATATATATATATATACATATATATATATATATATATATATATATATATATATATATATATATATATATATATATATATATATATATATATATATATATATATATATATATATATATATATATATATATATATATATATATATATATATATATATATATATATATATATGTCTGTGTATGTATTTATACCAGCAAAGCGGACCACAGTTTTTCTTTATTATCTGCATCGCGAATCGGTGGAGAACACTTGAATCGAGTATCGCCATCTGGAATTTGTTCAGCTGAAAATGCTAAGTAATGGGGGCACGTTTCGACTGTAATGCTGTCACCGCTACTCTTAGCTTCCTATAAAGATAAGCTCCTCATAAGCTCTTAATGCTTTAGTTAATGTTCTCACTAAGACACCATTACTCGATAAGTACCTTTATAAGTTGTAAAGAAGAGCCGGAATCAGCTAAATGAACAGTGTGAAGATGAGCTCCTTCAGCGGGGCCCCCAGCCCTAGTGTCTTTCGTTACTGTCACTAGCTCTCGAATTGCTGCTTCTTCCCTGAACAGATAAAGATCGTATTAATATAAAGATTGTATGCAATTTATAATGTATTTAAATAACATAAACCTCGTACCATGAAGCAGGTCTAGTCTTGAGATATGTGGAATAAGATCGAGGATTGGCAGTATTTTCTTGAATTTCCAGGTCATCATTGGCTTCTTGTTGAATCTCGGCATGTACTAACAATGGTCTCTTGTATTTTGCCAGTACAGAGAGCCCTTTTTAAAGGACAAAAAAAAGAGAGAACTTTGTCCCAAAAGAATTACAATACAATGTGTAAAAAATAGACGAATTAATTATATATTTATATGTACCTTAATATGGCTGGAATTTGTCATGGGGAAGTCGTTGATTCCAGAAGGACACATGAAAGACTAGACAAAAGATAACATAATTTCAGATAATACTCGACGAAATTATTTGTAGTTTCTAATTTTTAAAAAAAAAAAAAAAAAAAAAAAAAAAAAAAAAGTGAACCTTGAGGCCGAGTGCTCCAGCCTGGAGAAGACGATCCAAAGCAGTTGCATTGAATGCATTTTCGGGGACAAGACCACCCCAAAAACCTGTTTCTCGACAATAATTAAAACATGTTTTTAATATGCCAAAAGTGAAGACTTACTACTAATGATAGAAATTAGGACAAACGTACCAACATCAACAAAGATCCTTCCTTTAGCAGCTTTGGTCTGAATACACGAGCAGAAAAAAGGACTAATCGAGTGAGCCAGAGTGATACAATGCAAAATAAATTGATTATTAAATCTGAGAAAGTTACTCATATCCCATGTTATATCGAGAATAATCGCAATAAAGAAAAACGAGGAACTAATAATAAAGGCAGACTAGACTTTAGTCTCTACCTTAAGCTTCAGTGTTTCTTCTGAAACTGTAGATGGATAACTGTTCAAAGGCATGTCGATCAATGTTGTAATTCCACCTGTAAATGCATACAAATAGTTCGTTACAAAAACATACCTATATCATATGTCATTTATAACATAGTCCCCGAATAAAAAGGTAGACGAAATTCAAATTGAGTGTATTAAAAATTAAAGGGGAAAAAACAATACCAGCAGCAGCTGCTCTTGTTCCTGAAGGAAATCCTTCCCATTCCGATCTTCCAGGGTCGTCTAGATGTGCATGCCTGCCCATATTAACATAACAATTATATTAATTTAAATATTCCATTTTCAAAGAAAACAGGGACGCAATTTATATATCAACTTACACGTCAACTAATCCAGGTATAACAACAGCTTCCCCATAATCAATAACTTGGCTACTCGGTAATTTACCTCGCCATTCATCTCCTTCAACAATAGATTTGATTTTCCCTCCTCTTACTTCAACTATTCGTTATCCAAATTCAGTAAAATATGTTTAATATTAGTGCGACTAAAATAAGTTAACCGAATAAAAGGAAGAACTCAATGCACAAACTTGGATAATTCAGAAAAAAAAAATCAATTTCGAAATTCACCTGCACCGGAAATTATCGAAGTAGGTGTCACGATTCGCTTGCTAGCTATCCAAAAATGTCGGTACTGTATAAGGCTGCAGTTGCTCCTGTAGCTCTGTGAAATGGATGTTTATACAATGCATTAGCGTAGTTTCGCAGAGGCAAATAGCACCAAATCGCCATTCACAAACGAGAATTTCAGATCGAAATTTATGTACTATTTTTACTTAACAATAACAAGAGGTAGAATTTGTAACAGAGTTCATGGAATTAGGGCAGGATTAATCAGCACAATTAACATCAAACAATATGACTTGAAATTAACATTAAAAAAAACATGCATGCAGAAAATAGATTTTCATATATGCACAATCCACATATAGATCAGTGTGTGTGTGTGTGTGTGAGAAACATAAAACTCATGAAAAATCAAATAAATTGGTGCGTTCCGGGTTAAATAGAATCGAAAAATTCCCAAAATTGATAAGTGGAAATTCAAATAAATTGAAAAAAAAAAAAAAAAAGAGAATTGAAGGAACAAACCTGCGGGAAAAAATCGAAATAGAGTAGAATAAGAGAAGCGAGAATCGGCAACAGAGCAAGAAGCCTCAATTTCCCGGACTCCATCTTCTCTGCCACTCTCTCTCTCTACACTCTCTATATATACAATTATTTATTTTCAATCTGCGGTTTCTACATACAGCGGTATTTACACACACAGTATGTGGAACTTTATAAATTATAATAGAAAAGAAAAGGCAAAACTGAAATAAAGTAGAACATATCATAATATAAGAAGACAACTCCGGAATTCACGGAGCCAATAAGGAAAGTCCGGTTCGAGAGTATTTCGACCGGTTAGCGCGTGTGATACAACGCCGTCAAGTTGGCTGTGCGCCAACCAATGAAATTGGTCGCAAGTTGTATCCCGTGAAGTGTGAGCTGCTGCATCGATCTTATCTCACTCTCACTCTTTCACTAATTTCAATCAATACAAAATGTTTCAAACTTTTTCTATTTCCGATAAACTTAATTAGAGGGGGCTTGCTTAAGCTTAATATAATATTTAAAGAAATACTATACCACGTTTTTAACTTATTTTTAAGATCTTATAATAAGTTAAAAAAAAAGTTTATAAGCTTATTATATAAATACTCTAAAATTAATTCTAGAAGTTGTTTAAAATAAGTTTTAGACAAACATGCCGGTTTAATTTCGTTACTCTAATTATGCTTGAGGACAACAAATTGTACCGTATATTTTCTTGATCAAAGCATAACATTTTATATAATATAGTATATTGTTTTAGGCAAGTGCAGGGTGACAAAAATCCACAAACCAAGTGGTATGGTGACACAGACACTAGTGGATGTCTCATGTCTCAAGTGGTATGTTCAATTATGAATTAACTATTATAAAAAAATATATATATATTAAATTAAATAAAATTATATATATTTAAAAAGCCCATATCCGATAAGCTACGGCCCACCAAGTTACATAAAAGCCCAAATTTTAAATCGGCAGAACAGCCCGAGCCCGAGCCCAAAGCGCAATGAAAACTGCATATTCGGAACGCCATTTCCTCGCACGCGTCAACGTTGTAAATTGTAATAATGTGTTCTTGTCTACTCCGATGAAACGCGAAAACAATCGAGGAGAAAGATTTGAAATCCGGATTAAAAAAGAACATTCTTTGGTCGGAGGAAATGATTACATCGCCATGGGCGCCTCCTTGCAACAGCAAATGTGTTAACAAATACGCCTCTCTTATGCAAATCCCATGTATTTCACCTCTCTCTCTCTCTCTCTCTCTCTCTCTCTCTCTCTCTCTCTCTCTCTCTCTCTCTCTCTCTCTCTCTCTCTCTCTCTCTATCTCTCAATGGCTTCTTGATTTGATTCATATTCGGTCAGGCGACGGCATAATTGTGGGATTTTCATCTGGGTTTTTTTTTTTCTGTTAAGTTTATTACTGGATTTAAATTTTTTTCGTCTGGGTTTTTGTTCTTGTTTTCCCAATTTATCGGGGTTATGTTGTTCACGTATCGTATGGTTGACCTGAATCTTTCGTATCGCGATATGGGCTGCCGTGTATCTATCATATGACAATTTTTTCCAATTAAATTGAGCTGGTGAAGTTTGGTTTAACTCTTGATTTTACTATGCTTTGGTTTATCAGAAGTAGTTTCTTTAAAACTGCTGAACCAGTTTATGAGCAAAGAAGGACTACGATTCATGTATAAAGGTTTATGAGGGTCTGCTTGTTAATTTCAAGAAAGTTTAGGTCGAACTTGATATAAGCTTTTGCAATTTGTGAACGAGCATTCGATTAAATGTTGCCTATATGAAACTCTTGTCAAGGTGACTTTTAAATGTGATCGTTGCCATTAGTGAAATTTTACCATTTTCGAAAGGAAAAAGAATGTTCCAACGGACTTCTGTAAACAAAAAAAGTATCAAAGGGGAAAAAAATGGTAATTTTAGGTATAATGATCGAAGGTTTCTTGATGAAACAATTGGGACCGAAGATGTAAGCGTTAAACTATTAATTGTTATGTGCAAAATATTCAAACATGTAACTCGTTCCGTCTATATTAAGGTCGTATATTCTAGTGGTGTAACCTTTTTTTTTCTAGTTCTCCTTTATGGTGCATTTCGGTATTTTCTTTTTTATCGGATTTACGCATTTAAGTGGGAGATTTGACTAGCCGTGTATGGGTTCTTGCAGGGAGGGTATTTTGCAAAAAAGGGTGTGACGCTGACGGTGATACGTGGGACGAATGTAAGTCGAAATCTGCCACGTTTATTGCTTTTCTCATGAACAAAATATCTAATTAGCCAATTTCAATCATTTCTTATTGATTAGTATGCAATTAATATTTAGGTATAGGAGAATGTGACGAGATATGCTACAAAGACCCTGTCTTGAAGGACCAACAATGGAGCGCGTATATTGATCGTTCTCCCGGTTCTGCCGCCTATTCAGAGGTTCTTTTTTTTTCTTGTTTTTTTCTTTTTTTATCGACAAGTTGAACTACTAATTACGTTTATTTTGCTCATTTTTTTTTCTTCTCGTGGTTAATTACAGGAATGCTTTCGTGCTTGTATATCTGGCTGTGGCTACAAGGTAAATTCGATCCCGTTATTCATGTTAGGAATATACCGATCGATCAACTTAATTTAAATCTTATTAAGTTATAGAATGTCGAAATTTAAGTATGTGACGTATATATTTTCTTTTGTTAACAGTTTGATATTCCGTTGGAGAAAGTGAGTCAAGTTCATTCAAGACCACCAAAGGATCCAGTCGAAGAGAAGCCACACGCACCAGTCGGTGAATCCTCTTCCAAGATATCTAATGTAGTGAAGCCTCCTCCCGGCGAGATACCTACTACTTCTGCTTAATCAAAATTTTTCGTATTCTTGGCTAGGATTTTGTGTTTTGTGTTGGACAAGTTATACATCAATTATTGGGTGGCCTATTATCTTTGACGAAAATCGGACAAGGAAATGTCACATGTAAGTTTTAGTTTTATTACAGATTCGATTTCGGATTAGTTGTCCCAGCATTGAAACTTGCTGGAGAGCTCTTATTCATACAATGTGAAAATTGGAAGCTACAAAAATTAAATATTTGTTTTGAGTTCATTGTAGATCCGCTCTCTATTCATCAATTTATTTATTTTATTTAAAAAAAAAAAAAAAAAAAAAAGAGGTTAGCATTAATGAAATAAAACAACAAATTATTTGTTCCAAAAATACAAAAAAAACATACTTTTATTGTGATGCTGCCCAGGATCGAACTGGAGACCTTTAGTGTGTAAGACTAACGTGATAACCACTACACCACAGCATCATTTTGTTTGAGAACTAGACGGTACATAAAATTATTATACACTTTTCAGTCTCCAATCTCTTATCATTTCAGTTATCATTGTATTTTATGTGTGACCTATCTGCAAACAAAAACTGGTAATTTCTTGGAAACTTCTTTCCTTTCGTGCACTCATTTTCTCTTTGCAGTAAATACAATACACGTTCTAATATCGTAAAGATCCCCGATAACGATCACCTAAAACGGTAACCCTCACAAATTATATACTAGTAAGAAGATTTATGTAATATTCGACATTGTAACTATTAACTCTCACGATCTTCCTTATTCTGTTGCAAAAACAAGAAAAGAAAAATGAGCGATTTAGTAAATGTGAAGAAATGGCTCAAGTCGTCTCTGAAACTGTTGAATTTCAGTGTCGGCGTAGGCGGCATTGCTCTGATTGTTTTCGGTATTTCAACGGTTAGAGTCTTGCAACCGCATCGTAAAGATGACTCGTCTTCTCACCATTTATATTTTCCATGGTAAAGACACACACAAAAAAAAAAAAAAAAAAAAAAGAAAGAACAACCTCTGTGTTCGCACTCTGTTTTTCGGTCTTGATAGTAAATATCTTTTAATCTGATTTAATTTGTAGGTTCTTTTACGCTTTTCTTGGAGTCGGTATTGCTTTGTGCGCAGTCACCTACTTGGGCTACATTGCCTCACATACTGCAAACTTTCGATGCTTCTATTCCGTATCCACAACTAAGTGAAATCTAGTGTCTATTTTTTTTTACTTGCATTTATCGTCGTAATAAAATATCGACCATCAGAATTTACCTAACGATTTTTTCGGCAATACTTTTCACCTCCCTTAAGTCTTAACACAGCCACCATAGTACATATATATTGTTCTTTTGCTGCTCATACTGGAACTTGTGATCACAACAAAAGTTTTTTCCGATCCCAACTTGAAAAAGGTTTATTTACCGTGCACAATTTTTTCTTTACTATGTTTCGTCTTTCATCTTCTTTGTAAACGGCTGTTGCTGCTGCTGTGTGTAATCAGGAGTTACCAGCAGAACTATCTGAGAGGTTTGACGAATTTAACGATTTTGTACACACCTGGAGATGGTTTGTCGACTCTATCTATCTAATACAGGTAAATATAAGATATAACTAACAAAATATTGCGGTAAAAATACACTGCACACTACTTACGAGTCAAACTATTGCAGGGCGTTTGCGTCTTCTCAGTAGCCATTCTGAGGACTTATCACGAAATTAAAGTCAATAGCAACGTAATCGAACAAGTGAACGAGCAACCGAGGTATCCACTTTTAGACACATTATCCCAATGGCGACTTACTGAACCTACTAGGAACCTTGTCTGAGATCTTCTTTGCTTCAATGTCGATGTCGAATCTGTACTACATTGCTTTTTAGTATCTGATTATTGATAGTCGTTTTAATCAACTGAGAAAGTAATAAGTTATCGATGCATATCCATTATAAAAGTGATATATAAACTACATTCAACGAATCGGAATATTAAAAAAAAAAATGCCTGGTTCAGTGTGATTCTTTCTATTCTTCCCAACAAAAATATAAAACAATCACAGCTTTTGTAACTGGCTAAACAACAACTAATGAATCACCGATCCATAGCATAATGAACAAACTAATCCTCCGATACAAAAATAACAATGCGAATCAAACAAAAAAATGACTATCTCTCGTACTACACCAGTAAAAAAACCGAGGAACAGAGTAATAATCAGAGAACTCACACCTATTCAGACTTTTTCACTGACTTTACCGATATGTTTCTCTTCATCCTGCTAAAGGGGCCCACAGTCCTGTCCATAATATACATATAGATAACCTGGCTCCATGATTTATACGAATCCAAATGGTTGTAATACTCGGGTGCAATCTCCTTCACCTTGTAAAGCTTGCTACCGGGTATTCTCGGAAAATCATGGTGCTCGTTATGGTACCCCACGCTCCACGTCATCATATTCAAAGGTCCGTAGTAAGAATACGTTTCTTGATCCGAGTTAAACACATAGTGCTCCGAGATAAAATGGCCCGCCATGGGGTGCATTCCACCACCGACAAAGGTGGAAAGAATCAAATAGCCCAAAGATTTCCACCCCCAAAAGTACACCATGGCAGCATCAAGTGCCACCTGGATAATCAGATTAGTGAACTCCCACAAACCAGGGGGTTTCGGTTTGAGAAAGAGGGGGCGTAGTGCGTAAAAGAAGAGCTGGAGTAGGACCCATATCGACTTCGACACTACATTTTTGACGAGGTTGGCTTCTGTCTGACTCGGGATGTCCATGTCAACTCCGTCGACTCCTTGGTAGCGGTGGTGCTCGAGGTGGTACTTTTGGAAAGTGACGGACATCGGTACACCGATGGGGAGGTTAGCGAAGATACCTAGCCATCTATTGTAGACTGGAGTTGAGAAGGCTAGGTTGTGACTGAGCTCGTGTATAGCTAAGAAGAGATTATGATTGAGAAACGAGCCGAAGAAATACGCCACGATTAGTATCTTTAACCAATCGGAGTTGCAGAGGAATGTCGCGGTCCATAGTTGAAGCGACACCACCGCAGCAATCTGCAATGCAGGAGGAATAAACCAGACGACAAAATTAATATTTTCAGAAAATCAAAATCAAATGTCAATTCAATTAGTAGATCTTCTTCAGCTGAAAAAAACAATAATCCAATTCGAAGAGATTCAACCATTCAAAAAAATTACGGAAATAGCCCTAAATCACGAAAACGCAAAAAAAATCAAATCTTCAGAACACATTATCAAAAACAAAATCACAATACACAATCCTCGGAACTGAATTATCTATCAGTCAGCAGCGCGTAGATCTCGGCGGAATTGAATTATGAAAAAAAATAAAACCCTACATTGGTAGAATTGAAGGATTTACCTTGAGGAAAGCAAATGGATCGGGGCCAAAGAGGTGTTTGATTTGAGGATACTGAGAGAGAATCTGTCTTCTGCGGGAAGCGTGTGGTTCATCTGTATACGACCAGAAGAAATCTGTAGCCATAACTCCTTCTTCTTCTTCTTCAGCTCTCCCTTTACCTTCGTACCCCATTTTATTTTTTTTCTTATTTCCCCCTCTTCTCTCACAAATACGTTTTATTTCTCTTTCTTGTGAGAGAGAGAGAGATTATTTTGGAGGGGGTGATTGTGATTCAATTTTTTGTATTTTGAAAGTAGATGGGTGAGTTTGGTTTTATATGCCAGCTATATTTTCGGGTTGCCAGTGAATTTTAATGGACCTTGGTTTCTTGATTGGTGTTTTTTCTTTTTATTAATAAAATTAATTAATATAAAAAAGGGATGGTGTGTTTTACAGGTTGGAATCGGGGTAGGGGGACAGCCGGACATTGGACAGGTATATTCGGGGAATCGCACGTGACTTGACTCCCTCCGTACACGTGTATCCACAGCCACCAATAAGCTCCAATCACAGATTTTGATAAAATTAATTATTAATAGAGTTTTTTTTTTTTTTTAATAAATAAATGTTCAAATATATAATAAAATTGAGCCCAACTAGTTACCGGACCATAAGCCCAATAAGAACCCACCTTTACTCTTTCTCAAATGGACTACACTATTGAAAATGTTATCCACTGATCCAATCAGTTTCGCATGGATAAATTAACGGTTGGAGTAAATGAGTCTGTGTCAATTAACCCGAATTCGAATCTGTTTATTAATAATAGATAGATGGAGTTTGTCAAACGTGATTAGTCTAGTGTAATTTACGTGTACTGTATGGTTTGCATGTTGTTATACGAGAGTGTGAATTTATCTATGCACCTATATAATTGGTTGCGGTTCATTCATTAAAATAAAATGTTATCCAATCCTAGATGTCATGATTAAAGCATTGGACATAGGATATATGATAGAAAAATACAATCATCAATTCATCATGATCTACCTAAATAAATTGTCCCTTGATACATGAACAAAATGAAAATAGCTATATTCACAAACGACATGTGACAATGATTCACAATTTTGGGCCTCAATAGAATTGAACCTTTATTTAATTTGAGGCCTTATTGGGCTAGTGGCCCAATATACACATGATATATTATTATTTACACTGGGCAAGTAAATTTCAACCTGATTATATAATCACTCACGAAGCACGCGTATCTGAATGATTATACGTAGATCTACGAGTAACAGTTCAAATACTCCGTCATAAAAGAAGCGCGTCAAGAAAACAGATACGGTTGCGGAAATGGATATACATGTAATTATCATAGGATCATGAGTGGTCGGCCCTCCGCATTTACTACTACTTGCCTTGACTCTCTACTAGATATTTCAGTGTAGGTGTCTTACTTAATGATGCCTCCCAGTTATTTAATACATATTATCAAATTAATAATTTAGCACGTTAGTTTATCGATTATTAGTATATCGAGATTTTTTTACTATTTTCAAAGAATTCAATAAAATATGGTTAGCCTTTAGCTTGGTACAAGCTAAAGAAAGGGATAGAGGGATAGTAATGAAATTTAACACAAACAATTCAATAAAACAACCCTAATAGTTGCTTTTGAGACCACTTTTTTCCTTTCAATAAATGAAATTCTTATACTACCCCCACAAAATAAAGATCTACTACGGTCTATCCCATGACAATAATATGATAAAATCAAATTAAAAATAAATAAATAAAAGTTAAGTAATATAAAAAAATTAAATACTTAACAGTTAACAGTGTTGATCTCCATCCAGAACTACTGTACACACTAGTTTCAAAAAGTCCAAAGTTGCAGACTTTTTTGTGTGCAATAACTCTACTCTGTCCCTCCACCTATTTCACAAATGGCAATTTGCAATTGCCTAATTGCAAAAGTACCCCTCAACTTCTATCCACTTTTCCCTTCTTAAATGCTTTTTTCTTTTATTTTATTTTACACCCCTTCTCTACTTATAATAACTCTTAATTTCTCTCTCTCATCTCTCTAAACAAATTTCACAAGCATGAAATCCACTTCTCTCACTATAATCCTGTCTTTCTTGCTCTTCAGCGCCGCCGTCTCCTTCGCCGTCCGACCCGAACCCGAATCGGAGACCCGCCAGCCCGCAAGCAAGAAGGGTGGCGGAGGAAATGACAACTCCGGGGGCGGGTTCAACATTCCTGGTTTCGGGTCCGGAGGAGGCGGGTTCAACATACCCGGTTTCGGGCCTGTGATCGGCGGCGGGTACGGATCCGGGTACGGGAGCCCGAGCGGAGGGCGTTCCAAAAATGGGGTTGTTAGGTCTACCGTTGTGTGCAAAGACAAGGGCCCGTGTTACAAGAAAAAGCTGACGTGTCCGGCCAAGTGCTTCACCTCCTACAGCCGCTCCGGTAAGGGCTACGGATACGGCGGCGGAGGCGGTGGCTGCACCATGGATTGCCAGAAGAAATGTATTGCTTATTGCTGATCACTGGAGACGATCATCAATATATATATATATAAATAGCTGGTATTGGTTTTCATAATTACTACTACAGCAGTATTTCTCTCTCTCTCTCTCTCTATATATATATATATATATATATCTCTATATATTATATATATAATATATCTATATGCATAAAAGATGGCAAGTGAAATATGAATTCCACTGTAAAATTGTTGCTTTAAGTTGGAGTTTTGCAGTTTGTTGGAAATGGTCTGTAATAATGATCGTATAACTTATTTTAATTTCAGTTTCTTGAATTAATTTTTCTCTTTTCAGAATTGTTTAAAAAAAAAATTAGTATCAAGAAAATTAAAGCATGAAATGAAACAAATAATGAGAGTATTGTATAAAAGTATATGCAAACAATCATGAATCAACAAAAATACAAATAGCTCCAAAATAATCCATGCGGATATACCTTTCTCTCTCTTCTTTCTAGACCCAAAATCTTTACTATCATGAAAAAATTGACTGTACTTCCTTCAATCATCCCGAAAAAGAAAAGGAAAAAACGAACGCTCGATACGGAAAAGAGTCGGCTTTATGAACAAACTCGTCAACAATTAAATTGCTGCTCTCATGACTCCCCTAGCAGCTTGTTGCTTCATCTCGGCTGCTTTGCCACTGCCTCGGAAATACATATAGACTTGCTGCAAAACGACGAGCATTAATATTAATTACTAATATTGTCAAGCACGAGTCACGAGTTAAAAGCGTTTGGAACGTAGATTTTGGAACCTGTATAACCCAGACGCTGAGAACCGCTTCGACGCAGAAGAGTCCAAAACCGATGAAGTAGAAGATCTGTGTCGACCAAAGACAATAATAATGTATTGAATCATGTAATAATTTGGAGCTGTATATGTATTCTCTAGTGATAAAATCAGATTGTGCCCCCAATGAACTTACCCCAACAAGAACATGCTGGCCTATGAGATCTACGGCTGGCAGTATACCTCTGTGCAAACACCCACCCACAATCAGATCAAAACGCTAGATATTGTAAATGCTCAGAATATTCAAGAACATTATCAAAAGAGGAGATTGAACAAGACAACGTCTAGGATTGTCTGAATATAAGTTATCCGGTTCGAAATTCGAATCAAGAATACAGCTGTGAGGGTAATAATTGGAAGGGCGCACTTACGCTAGAGATTTCCCTTTGAAAACAACGGGAGGTGCAACGGCAGCAAAGATGACGAATCCAATGTGGAGCTGTGTTACGCCACAAGGTAAGTTGTCGTATATTCAGTTGAAGACGAGAAAATTAATTAAGATAAGAAACTCACCATGTAAAATAGGAAAAACCACCCAAACTTCAGAGCACTCTCATTCCTGCAAATTGCAATAAAAAGGTATTATTATAGTTTCCATTAATTCATATTCTCCATCTCATAAGAATTCGTAAATATTATCTTCACAACATCAATTGTAAATGTAAAAGTTGCTTCCACAAAAAGATAGAAGCACAAACCTGAAAGCTCGGTAGAGAGGACGATACCATAACACATAGGCTCCTGGAACCCCAGATATGAAGTAGATAATGGCAAGAAACCAAATCTTTGCATCTAGTTGACAATAAATCGTAAGTTAGGGAAAATGAATGCATAAGAATTGCACTTGGTGATGATTTTGAAGGCCAACCTCCTTGTTTAATCCATGCAGTAGTCACGGCTATGACATTCCATAGAAGTGCAAAAGCAAGTCCTGATCACCACCAGTAAATACATCATCAGTATACTTCATGCGGAAACTTCTTGCAGCTCTAATATTTCAGATATGACATACTAATAGTCTATGATATGTGAGAAAGGTCCGATTCTAAAGCCTAAAATTTACATACCTAACAAGGTCGTAAACGCAACATATTGCAGCTTCTGAAGATGAATTGGTATTTCATTCGCAATATCATGATGGATAATAGGGAAAAATGGAGGCCAGTTTTTCTCCTCGATAACTATACCAGCTGCGAGAAACAAGAAATCAGCGGCAAATTCCTTTTGGTTTACACGTTCTCCGTTATATAGTGAAATTTATTATTTTCTTGATAAAGGGCATCAAAGTAATAAAAATATCTAGTAGTAGAAGGCAAGAACCTCGTGCAACAGCCTCTTCTTTCCGCCTTACTTCCTGCAGAACATCATTAATACAACTTAGGATCAATGTTCGTGATGCGGAAGGCAATTCAACTGATATTCTACACATTCAATCTTGTTAAGGACAAATATCTATCAGAATCTTGTACAACTTGGGGTTATCTACCCAATATATTTTTCTGGCTATCCAATTATCAAGACTAATGGAGAAAATCCTCTATGCCGTGTATGTAAGTTTAAAATATCCTCGTGTTTTTGGTGTGGGCTACGAGAAAGTTAAATAACTCTGCAGCATGACTTTTTGGACTTTACCCACTTTGACCCCTCAAGCAGTCAAGCATGTATTGTAATATGGGAGTCGTATATTTAAATAGAAAACATGTACAAGTTGAAGGCCCTAAATTAAGTGTTGAAAATAATGCAACAATTATTTGCCATGCTTCAGGAGAGAGAAAAGCTTGTAAGGCTTTTTAATTCAATCTAATTACTTTTTATAATTTTATTTTTATAAAAGTTTGTAAAAAAAAGCAGTTATACAATCAAACATCTTAAAATTGATCACAACGAAGCAAAGAAAAAGCTAAAGTGTTCCCTCATGATCAGCAATATAGCTGCAAATACCATCCGAAAATGCACAGAAACTCATCCGAGCAAGATTAACAGGAAGTCAGGAACCATAAAAGAGTACCTGTTCCCTCCTTTTCAATTCAGACTCCTTAGCCTGCAGCTCTCTCTCCTTCTTTTTCAGATCCTATATTAGAGATTTTTTTCGATAAGAGCAAACAATGCTGGTGCAGGGAGCAGAAAAAGGAATATAGCAGTAGCACTGCAGGCTAAACAATTGAAAAAAGAATAAAAAAATTCAACTACCGAAGCACTATCAAGTGAAATATCGACTGAAGCTGTAGGGTTGTAGAAATCAGCAGGCTCTGGAGGAAGGGGTGACAGCCTTGAATTTGAAGCAGGAGGTACGCTACCAGTATTCTGAAGATTAAAAAAAAATTGAATGTTACATGTAAGAATTAACTAATTGAAAGGGAACTATACATATATCATATAGTAAAGATCATGAAAATGATTGTTTTGAACTCATAAGCAGTACATGCACGATGTGTCAGAAACATATGAATTCAGATGTATCCAAAAACATATGAATTATTTCACTACCCTTGGCCAGAGGGAGCCCTTTCATAAATTGTCAGGGATTAGCAGCGAAGCCAGGCCCAACTCCCAACAAAGGGTTGGGAATAGTTTTTTAACAACAATACTTACGTCTCGGTTGGAAAATCACTAGCTGCATAATTTCCCCAGAACAAAGATAAGATGAACTCACCGATGTATAGAATGAACCTCTACTAAACTTTGACTGACCAGCTGCTTTTCCTTTTCCCCCTCCATCCTGGATTCAAGAAGTATATTGAAGCTTCAAAGTTGAATATAGAACCAAAAGTAGGAGCACTAAATTTTACCGAGCAGAATAAAAGAACATAGTACAGCGAAACTACACACGCCAAGAAATTAAAGTATCAACCTCAACCCACTACCAGTTTTCATTAAGCACTTCTTTGTTCTAATTGGATGCATTGCCAATTCTCTATTTCACGAAGTTGGACATAATAAGCTGGATGTAACTTGTTCACGTAGTGTCTAAAACACATTGAACAACTACTATGCCATCCCAACACCTTGCCTGAAATACCCGCCGGGATTACATTACAAATACCAATTATTCTTAACTACCACCCGTTCGTACAAAGCCACGATACATGCCCACCATCTTCTACAACTAAAACTCAAAACAATATTTCACTTTTTCATTATGCTCACTTATCAAGCATGCACCAAAAAACTAGGAGGAAAGCAAGATTTGTTTTCACATGTTCATCTAATTCCATAATTTTTGAAGCATAATTGTGGTAAAACTCGATTAAACCCTCGGCTACACGACTTAAAAAGTACAACAGCTTCTCCATCACACCCACAAGATGCATTACTGATATAATCATGATTTTACCCATAGATGCAACCAAATTTTGAAATCGACAATAAAAATCAAGTCAAAGGCCAAGTAATACCACGCGGGCGAATACATGAAGAGCACATCAAAATTCCAACCAGAGGATCATCACAATTCACAAGCAACATTCCGCCAATTTAAACACGAACTTCAAAACCACCTACATTATAATTAGCCCTAGAGTCAACCAAAATCATACCAAATTCTTCAACAACAAATACTTCCCTCTAAATTCATAATGTGCTTCCACTTTCGAGCAATTAAAGGCGAAAACAAAGTTGTTTCTCCCTAAAATTCAAAACATAATACGAAAAAAATAAACCATATGAAACTTACAGAGAAGGGGTTAACTTCATCTCCTTCATCAAAAGGGTTGCTATCGTAACGGCCGGCCATTTCCTTTAACACTTGCAGAGAGCGACGAAAGAGAGATTTTGAGATCTAAATAGTGAAATTAGGACGGTGTTAGAAAAGGGTAAAAGGTAAGTGTGGAAGCTTAGAGGAGAAGAATTTTGGACAGTTCATTCAATGCCAGGAAATTATATTCTAATCAGAGAAAGTTCGTTTAGAGAGAGAGAAGAGAGAGAGAGGCGCGTGGACTTGCTGTGAGTCAGGTCAAGTTTTTTTCAATTTGAAAAAATAAGGGAGTAAATTATAGTATGCCCCTCCATCTATATTCTAAAATCAGAATAGCACCTCTTTGTTCTGATTTCTATCACTTTGCTCCCTCAAACTTTCGAATTCATCATGTTTTCGAGGGCAAATTACGGCCACCCCTGAGTTATGGTTAAATTACGAAAACCCCCTCTTGTTTGGTTAATTACAGTCACCCCTCAACTATGTATTATTTTACGAAAAACCTCCTCCATAGGTAAATTTAGGGATGTTAAATCGGTAAAAATCGAACTGAAATTTCAGTAAGCCAACATTTCATACAGTTTACCCAACTGAATATACGATTTGCTACGGTAAATAACCAAATTACATAAATTTTATGTAAAAATATTTAAAATGAGCGGTAACTGTAATTACCCAAACAAGAGGGAGGCTTTCGTAATTTGGTCATACTCCAGGGGTGGCCGTAATTTGCCTTGTTTTCAATTATAAAATTCTCTTGGAACCAGCTTATTGAAATTATATCAAGAACAAAATATTATCGGGCTATGTTTAGGATTTCAAATAGAACTTGTAAAATAATATCATCTTGTTTTCTCCTTTTCTTTTATTTCCATGTGTTCTTTGTTCGACTCAATTTCCAGGGGTTGAAAATTATCGCGATCACCGTTGATTCGAGCATCGCCTAATTCACGTGATAATTAGAGAAGAAGAATGAATTGTGGTTTCGGGGTCGAGACCAAGAATTTCGAAGAGGTGTAAATCTGTAACAGTCGTTATCTCAGTTGGTGAAGGTAAGTGAGAAACGAAACAATGCCACTTGGAAGAGACACACATGGCTTATAAAATCGTGCTACGAGTAGGCTGATCAACGTGTTGGTTAGTTAAGCAGCAAAAAACATTTGTGTAATCTGAGTTTTACAGTTCAATATACAATTCCTCTCTTTCTCCAATCTCCCTCTCTCTCTCTCTCTCTCTGATACCGCAAACCCTAACAAATCCATCTCCGATTTACGCTACTTACAACCCACAAACCAAAATAAAATTAAAAAAATGAAGATTGTCCCAAATTAGTACAAAGAAAGACTATATGACATGTTCAGTAGTTTGTAGTTATAGCTGCAAAAATTTCAAAAAAAGGGTGTAAATACACCTCTAGTATAAGCTAATTAATCCTTTGAAAACGGATCAACCCAGTTTTCGTCATCCTTAACAGCCTGCTCCCATCGCTCCTTGAATTTTTGAAGTTCTATTGATGATTGCCTTCTTATCTGCACCGCACAAATCCAACCAATTACATCACAAGCACAAAAAATCAAATTAATAATTTTTTTAATGGCTATTTTCACAAAATACGGTATCTCACCTCTGATCTCACATCCACACCATGCCTCTGGTACAAGTAAGAAAAAAACCAAAAAGAAAATCAAATAAGTCGAGATTTGTGGTTTTAACTGATAAATACTGATTAGTTCATCTAAGCTATAATACCTTAACAGTCTCTTCATGATTCGAGACCTGCACGGACATCAATTATCATTAATTTAAATGAATAGGAAAATTGCCATAAATGCTAAAAAAAATCACCACAAGATATGCATATTTGAACAGAGTATAATTCCAATTATTTTAGATGCCCAACGTTTGGGGTTAGATGGATTAATTTTCTTCATATGTAGTAGAAGTATGAAATTAGTAAATAGTAGAACTTCAGTGTAAGGGAACAAAGACGACAAAAATGTAAATTGAGGAGAAAAAAGTTAATCACAAATATATAGAGTTAGTTACTCACTTTTGTTGCTGATGCCCCACCTAGTGTCTGTATACTCTGATGAACTATGTATTCACTATCAACTATTCCCACCTTTTCTGTACGATCCCCCTATTTATACAAGAGAAAGCACGTTAATAAAGTTAAATACAAGTGTTATCCACTTTTAACTGAGTATGAAATTTGTAATCTCGGGAACATAAAAGAATAGTGCAATTTATATCTAAATGTGGAATGAAACTCTGCTGCACAGCAGAAGTAACATTATAGACAAACACAAAACATAATGGTCGTACCTGTGCACAATAGCCGAGTTTCATGTCCATTCCCCATCCATGTACAAGGTCATTCTGATGCAAAAAGATACCTCATTCTAAGATTTATAGATTGGAAAGTTAAATAAAGCAGATTAATGCAACTACAAGCTCTTAAAACAGCTAGAAGAGGCCACAAATCAGTCGCTGTATATTTGCTCCTTATAATAGAAAACAGACAATATACTTATCGAATTAACTTCGTTTAACGGAGAAGAAGCAGGGGCAGTATCTGGGGATTAAGCATTGGCCAAATCTGTGACGTATCACCTATATTTATCTCAGTGATAATAACGAGTGGCATTCAAAGGATTTTTTGTCTCTTCTTTTTTCCCGAATAACCCCTCAATAAGGTGCTCGGAATGATTCTTAAGACATCTTTAATCCTTTTTTTTTCCTTTGTTTAATTGAATGGCCAATCAATAAGGTGTAAGCATATGCATATTAGAGAACATAACAAAGAATATTGATTACTAGATGTGGCTTTGCAAATTTGACTGTATAACATTTATGTTTGTGTAAACTACACGAAAGATTTTTTTTTTGTTCTGAAAAGGCAGAAAATTTTACCTGTATTAAGTGCCAGGCACAGTGCCATGCAGATCTCGAAAATACAGGAGCCATACCTTCCACAAAACTGCAAATCTTGAAGGGATTAGCATGTTTCTCAAAATTGGAAGAATAAGGGTACCATATCACTTGTTTGAACATGCAATCACCGAAGATAGAATGAGCATTCAGCTTTTATTATGTATGTCTATTGGTATGTTATACAAAATAAACAACGAGATAAGTTATGATAAGTTACCCACTGCATGGAGGCCCCTCGCTATCATCCGAGCACTTAATACTACCTCTGACTTCGTAGACTCTTCTGCTTAAATCAGAACATATAAGTACCAAAAGCACCACAAATGGAGTTAAAAAATCACATAGATTGTGCACAGAACCCACCTGTGGAATATATTCATTCTATTTCTTACTGTGATCCTGTGGTGTATACCAGTTGAATTTGGGTCCAAAGCTGGCTGAGATATTTCAAACCCTTCTGATCTTACAATATCCAGATACCTGACAAAGTAGAAGCAAGAAGACCAAAAGAATGATTTCACATGGTGTTTTCGAGCACTAAGGTAGGCAAAGCCAACATTCTGATCTTAGAACGATAAATATACAGAAAATTCATGGAATAATGAAATTCTATGTTGACTTAGATCTTTAGATGGAAAAGTTATCTTTAACTAGAAACAAATAATGCAAACTACAAGTGGCAAAATATCTTTGTGAAGAAACAGAAATATTCATATCGTGAAATGTAAATATAGCGTGCTGAGAAGAACAATTGGCACAAATAACTTCAAATAACGTTATAATAGAAACAAATAAAAGAAGTCATCCGAAGAGAGAGAATATTGTATGATGCTGCTGCAACAGTACCTTCCAGGATGGAAATTCTCGACCCCCAAATCTTCATCCCACAGGAATATGTAATCATACATAGATACAATAGCTGGATGTAAAAAGCGTTTTGCAAACCACCTGCAGATTTCCTTTTATCAGTAAACCACCAATTATAAAGAAGAAACTCAAATTCCAGAGCCAATAGCATAATTACTAGTGAGGGCATCAATGACCATGGCGAAGATTGATTTCCTCTTTTTTCTGTAATCGATATCCTGATACATACCATTTGGTAGACTACATGAAACTTCAATTTTAAGGCTTACCATTTCGTTTGGTTGTGAGCAGCTATATGTACAGCTTTCTTACTCCATTCCAGGTCCCACCACCCATCCAAGTTACCGTCGTAGTGAAACAAGATAATTGTGAAATTTTCTGAAAGAAACTGAATCCAAAAGAATTAGGCAATAAATGTGAACAGTTGTTAAAGTAATAGATAACTGAGTTTTTCTACTATATAAACATCAATAAGCAGCTGTACCTTTTGAACAATAGTATCAACATTCTGCTTTTGTTTAACTCCAACAGGCATTGCTAGCAAGTTACTAGAGCTCCGATCACTAACCTATAAATATAGAGGAATGCATATGTTTGTCAAAAAAATTTATAATAAATGTATCAACAATCATTCAATCAAAATTATATCACAGTGAAATGAGATAAATGGGGGAAATATTAAAAATGGCATAGAGACACTATTTGAACTTTTACCTTTGATCTGGAACTGCTTGTTGTCCATAAAGGCTTCAACTCCAGGTCTGACCTTGCTTCGATGATTCCACGAGGCAAACTATCCAAACTTTTTGAATCCACGCCTGATTCCTAGACCAAACCATTAGTTGATCTCAGCAAGCGAATAAAAAATAAAATAATCTTACGGAAAAAATAAGGACACTATAAAGGATGATACTGAAAGGGTTTATAAAAATATGAAATATGTTTTTATTGGATAAATACCTTAAATGTGTAGAATGGATAAAATGTTGAATCCATCTGATGAAAAGGCATAAGGAAATTAGTAATCAGGGCCATGATAAGAGATTAACATAAAAATTGAAATTTGGACAAACATTCTGTTAACGTACCTCTGTTTGTTGATACTGATACTTTGTACTTGTATATATTATTAACAACATTATTATACAGACAGCTACCATAAATGGGAGCTGTTTCATCTTCGATCCGAGTGCTCTCTGCAGTTATATTTACAAGTTAACCGCTTGTACTTTCACAAACAGCATTGCTCCTACTTAAAGATTTTACAGAGTTTAACTATCTATTCTCTGAAAAGTACCATTGTAGGTCACATACCGTGTCAAACAAGATACTCTGTTTCTTCACCGGCCACCTCCATGATTTGGACTCCTTCATAGGCAAACATGGAATTTCCTAGATTCTCTCAAAAAAACTGCAATAAGTTAGGTACATCTATTGTTATCATTCATCCACGATTGCATATGTAATTATGTATCTGAAAATAGACTTGCAATTGCGACCTACTTCCAACAAATATGGGGTTTAAATAGTTTATATAAGAATTAGAAGCCGACTAGTGATTCAACTTAAAAGCAAAAGTTTTGAATACGCCGTAAGTGCAAATTTCATCACCAAACACCATTTGCATGACGTAACTTCCCGAATGCAAATTTATCTTGTGCTTAACTTCTTATAGTGCACATTTATCTTGTTTGCAAAGGTGCTCACATGTAGTGCGTGCAATAATTGTATTAAAGATGTCACAAAGAACACATAGAAATTCGAGCAAAATTCAGAAATCAAAGAAATACAAAATCCACTTTGATTTATTTCAAATGATTCCTTGTTCTCTAAGAATAAATTATGTGGTTCCTTAAAACAATTTAATAAAAAAATCAAATATGAAACGATTATCAAACAGGGCCATTTATGAACTAAACTATCCCAGCTACCAGAAAATACAATCCAAACTATACGTATTCCAAAACGCAATTTCAACAACTGGATCGACTGTTCAATAATCATATGCAGATCACCAATTATTTATAAACTGCCAAAAAAAAAAAAAATTACACCAAACGAAAAACAAATTAAAAGAAAAAAAGAAAAAACGCATACCGATTTCGCCACAGATTCAAGTAATCCGACGCACAGGTTTACAGCACGCGATTGAATCCCCAGCTGAAATCAATCTCCACAAAAATCCTACGTTCCAATCACCTCTGCGTGTATCTGTTGTATAAATCCAATATGTACAAAATAATTGAAGAAAAAAAAAGTATAGATAGATAGATACAAGTGAATATCTACGTATAACTATGTGTATGTGTGTGTATGAAAAAAAAGGGTGGGGAAAGAGGGGAGAAAGAATAAGAAGCGCCACGTATAAAGCGGAGAGAGTTGTTGAATTTTGCTCACTGTGCTTTGAATTTTTGCAGAAAAAATATGAGCGGCACCAAAACTCATACAGCTAACCTCATTTGTTATCACTCCTTAAAAAAGGATTAGTGTTAGGATTAATATTTTAATAGCGCACTAATGCAATTAATTTTGTGTGAATTCATGGCAATATACAATAAATATATTTATGGTTAGAGTTAGGGAGATTATTATGAAATAAATGTTACAACATCCCTACAGTCTGTGACTTTTACATGTACGATAATTAATTGGACCACCTGATTTATATTCTCCAAAAAGTAGGAATTCAATTCATTTGATCCCTCACAAATCTCTTTATATCCCAAAATACTGTAAAATTACGGTCACCCCGAGATAAAATAAAATTACGAAAAACTCTTCATACTTTTTTTTCTTCGTAATTTGACCTCATGGGTAACCGTAAGTTACCCTATAGAATATGTTTTTCCTGCATTATTTTATATATATATATATGTACAAAATATATATACTCATGCAGCAATTGGATTGCTTTTTATATTGGTTATTTAATTGTTAATTAAATAAGGAATAAGGTCAATTTTGGATACTGTTGCAGCAATAGACCTGGGTCTTGTTGGAAAGCAAGTTAGGTGTGATGTCGGACTTCAATCAACTGGCCCATCTTCTTTGTAGTTTTCCTCTTCCATAGCTTCTTCTCTACCATTTTAAATAATAGGATAATTATAATTCTTATCTAATTTTTTTCTTTCAATAGTAATTGAATGTCGGTGTCATTAAATTATATGATGAAATGAATCATAAATAATATATAATAAATTATAAAAAAATATTCTTAATATTTAGCCTAATGGCTATTTACAAAAATATATTTAATCACATCATGGCCCACGAGGGCATGTACTGCTGTTCTTAATTGGTGAAGATATAGCCCAATTGCCCAAATAATATTAATAAGGGTAAATTACACATACATCACTTCAGTCGGTATGCTAAAATAACTTTAATGTCCTTTTAGTACCAATAATTACAATCACCTTTGAAACATTGTTAGAAATCATAACGGAATAATACATTGGGTGACATGACTCTCCTAACATTTCTTAAATACTTGTTATTTTATATAAGATTTATAAATTTTCGTCTATGGTAGCATTAAAAGGCACGCACGAAACAAATATAGTGCATATTGATCCCCAAGACGTGAAATCTTGGCTCAGGTATATGTTTCAAGGGTGTGGATGTAATTACCAATATCACAGGGACTTTAATGTTATTTTAGCATACATCAAGGGTGTATGTACAATTTACCCTAATAATAAAGATAAAAACAAAGAACAACCATGAATGCTATATATATTATTTTCATTTTCAAAAAAAATATAAATATATATGACTGCACATAAATTAATTACAGGTAACCAGCTTGGCAAGTCATTTGTATCCAACAAAGCACAAGCTGTTAATACAATACAACTTGCAACACAAAATGCATACAACTGGGAATACATATATATGTAATAGCACCGATGCACATACTGGATACCGGCAAGGCAAAATTTGCAATATCCCAAGTATGACATTTACCTGATATATAGATATGTATTATATCTCTCTTGAAGTAATTCTTGTTAATTGGTAATAAGCTACCTACTTTCTCTCTCTTCCGGGTGTCACGTTTGTTGTAGAACCATATTCAGTTGTTGTGCGTATCTTGCTACTACACCTCCCCTCCTAAACCACATTAATACAAATCATTTATATATATATTTATATAGCCGGAAATAATTCGACAAAAGTGTAAGAGTTAAAAAGACAAAAGACACTCACTTCATAAGCTCCGGAAGACTTTTTTGTACACCTTGTAAATGGACAAAGCACTGTTTGCAGCATTCGCGTCTGCCACCAAACACGTCAAATGTATTCAATTTTAAGACATCATAAAAAGAATTGAAAATTTCGGAAAAGAAAATGGTACCTCTCCTCTGCATGAAGATCGACACCAACAGATTGAGGTGCTGAAACTGTTGAACGAACTAGTGTACCAAAGACTGCTACCAGTTTCAGAAGCATCTCCAGAGAAACACTAACATGCCTAACACATTAAAAAAAACACGTAATAATCTCAGACAAAGCTTTTTCCTTCTTTTTCCGATTATGCTTTGTAAGAATTTTTACCTTTCTGCTTTGCTTTCGAGTAACCCTAAAAGCACAGGAAGCAAGCAAGAAAACAGCTCCAATGTAATAATCTCCAGCCTTTCTACGAGGACACCTATTACATCTGCTTGTACCTGCAAAAATGAAATAATATTAAGAAAAATTGTGCATAAATATATATCTGCAGGTAGAACACTGAATATATATTGCAGCAAGAAATACTTACAGAATGGTCGGGCAATTTCCTGACAGCAATTATGGCACCCTTGACATCATTCCTTTCCCAAAAGTGTCGCACCACCTGTACCAGAAATTTATATTCCCATTGTTAGAAAACTGATATATAATTGGAGTTAATTATTGAAATAACTTCGTTCAAGATTACCTGTAACTTTGTCAGTCGGGACCTAAATGTGCTCAATAAAACATCGTGACCCTGCAAAAGATTCTCGATGACATTATCATCATCCAAAGTTGACGGCTTCTCCTTCACGATTACATTATCATCATCCAAAGTTGACGACTTCTCCTTCACGATTACATAAGTTGACTGGTCCTTCTTCGTCATCACACTTTGTTGGTCGCTATTCTGCAGCACACCACATTACCCAATTAATATTCATTTGAGGGGGGCAAAAAGGGAAAGAAAAAAAAGTCAATATAAGAGGAGGAAAATTCTACCTGAGGTGGCGGTGTTTCGACAGGCTCAGTAGCCACAACAGAAGCCTTATCGGAGATGCCACTCTCATCTACGTCTATTTTTTCCTTTCTTTCAAACCTCTCAACCAAACTGCGCGTCCTTCCATGCACAACTGCCACTGCGAGTATCAAAGCACAGTAATTAATATAAGTACAGATTATTTTCACCTCTCGTATTCTGACAAGGTGGTAATAAAAGTTAGATAGCAACCTCCATTGACAACTTTTACAGGAATTGCCCCTCTACTGGAACTCAGAGTCTGATCACCTGGAACAATTGTCACGGGTGACGAAGTTCTATCCACCTTTTCCACAGCAGTCTTGTTATTTGATTGTTTCACCTCAGAGGACTCGTTAGAATTTTCATCGGTAACAAGCCTATTGCGTAGATGCGAATCTTTTTTACTGACCAAAGAACTTTTCGTATCGTCACAAGAATCAAGAGAAACCGACATTCTTTCCATATCAAACCGGCCGGTTGATAGCCTCCGTGCATGAGGTGGCTTAGAAGACATGCCAGAACTGGTTGGCTTAGATGAAGCAATAGATTCCCTTCTAGACCCAATAGATTCCCTTCTAGACCCAGCAGAATCTCTTCCATCGGGACCATCACGAGGTACAATACTAGGCATAATCAGAGATCTATTAAGAGCTTTTGCAGGCACACTTGATGTGGGGCCACGCTTCTGAATTCTAACAGCGTTCACTTCCTTAGGAACATCAACAGGGTCAACTGTCTTTGAAGTAGGAGGGTCAACTGTCTTCGGAGTAATAGAGCTTACACCTGCAGCTTCACAAGGGTAGAAACATTGATCTTCTGTTCTTGACAAATTAGAGACGGTAAAAATTGTAGGGAAAGAAAACTTACGGTCAACATATATGGTTTTGATTTCTTTAGAAGAATCGCTATCTGGCGTTGTCGATCGGGTATTGGATTTTGGCTTTACATGGATTTCTTCTTTCTCCGAAAGACTGCTCTGACTATCACATTTCTGCTCCGAGTTGCTATGTTGCTCCGGAGCCAATCTTGTGCCGTATGGCTCTATAAGCTAAAACACAGAAATGCCACTTCATCATTGTTAGGGGAAAAAAATAGTAATAGTATTTTGACAATCAGAAAATAACAGGCGAATACCGAAACATCTGCTACCCAAAGTGCAACTGAGTTCTCAAAATATGCACCGCCCACAAGCTTCCCATCATGGAAGCAAAGATCACCGACAGTTGACCATCCCATATCAACTGAATCATGGCAAATTACAGGCTCCCATGAGTAAACCTGCAGTTGGAAAGAAATAGGCCATCTGAATAATTTTAATTTTTTTACTTTTTTACAGAAATATACATTCCAGAAACAAACCTTTAAACTATCATCTAAACCGCAGAAAAGGGTTCTTCCATCAGGGTGGAAGGCAAGTGATCTTACTCCTGTAGCCTGAAGGAGAAGACAACAAATCACTTTGGTACTTAAACAATTTTCTATTTACAACATCACGGAGAGAAATAAGCAGTAAGATGAGAGAAGTGTATAACAAAAAACAGAAGTGGAGTGTTATATATTTGAATTGGATACTAGATGCTTGCACATTCTGTGAGGGTGAAATATACTAAATTTAAATACATATATGTTTACCTACCTCGCGTCTGGCAGATCCAATCATCTCAAAAGTCTCAAGATCCCAAAATTTCACAGTTTTATCTGCCGAACCTGGAATGTATATTATTCGTTGTTACAGTTATCAGCCATAAAGCCTCGAAAACAACCATTGACAGTTAAGTAAATCCATACGAACAGTCACCTGTTGCTAAAAGGAACTCGAGCGGATGAAATTCTATGGAGCGAACATGTCCTTCATGGAATTTGAAATCGTGTAAAAGCTTCCCAGCTGTCAGGTCCCACACCTGTACATAGAAAATTGGTGTAATAAAACCAAGAATTCAAGACAGTTGGAAATAGTCGGGTAAATAAAACTTTTCGAGAATTCGACAGCAATACCTTTACAACATTATCAAATCCACCAGAGACTACCCAGCGCCCATCAGGGGTGAATCTTATAGTACTTATCCCTCGAGTATGGCCTTTATACGTATGGATGCACCCTTTCTTTCTAATATCCCATATCTTTAGATTAGTGTCCATTGAACCCGATGCAAAAAACTCACCAAATGGATGGAACTCAACAGCAGTACAATAGGATCTGTGTCCAGTAAGAGTGCGAACCACTACATTTCAAGACATGAAAATACATCAGGATTAAAAATATATATATATTCATTGGTTGTAGTTGATTTCATTATTTAACAATTTATGCTCTCCGACTCGCGTTAAAAAAAGCACACAATCGATTCTGAAATTCAAATGAAACAATTTAAAAGATATGATGAAGATGGTGAGTTTACTTTTTGTTTCTTCCAAATCCCACAGCTTTATGGCTCCAGAAGATGATCCAGCTACCACTAAAACCTCTGCTGAATCGAAGGCTGCGGATTCTACTGGACTTGTATGACCACATAGGCTCTGCAATCACCACAAGGTCGTCTTCTTTCAGTTTTATAATGTGACAGGAAACTAAGGAAAGCATGATACACACACACAACGCACATTGTATGTATATAAATAGATAGATAGAGTGTGTGTGTGTGTGTGTGTGTGTGTGTGTGTGTGTGTGTGTGTGTGTGTGTGTGTGTGTGTGTGTGTGTGTGTGTGAGTGTGTGTGAGAGCATTCCAAAAACACTAATGACATGAAAGGAAAGAGATGAATTTGAAAAAAACAACGGAAGCAAATGCAGAAAGCACCTTCTGCAAATCGTGAAATTTTCTAAATTTAGCCACCAACGACATATAGTGTAATTAATACCAGGCTGTTTACGTTAAAGAGACAAATGGAAAATGAGAAAAATTAAGTATGTCCCTCTTTCAAAAATTTCAGTCTGAATACAAATTTACGGCATCCTCTCGTACTGGTTTGAGTCAGCAAAGCCGCAGACCCGCATTACAATCAAGATACTAATAAAACAAGGGGAAACTAAGGGTAAGCTAATCACGTCATCGTCACATAATTATACGAAAATCAATCATCCAACTGTTAAAACGAAATCATGTCAACGCTCATTGGACAAGTGGCACTAACCGTCAGACACGTGGGCTTGCCGACGGACCAAAGGTTGACTTTCTGATCATCTCCACCTGTAATGAATGATCTGCAATTCTTTTTCCCAAAGCTCAAACAATTTACATTCCCACCATGTGCCACAAATTCCTCTAAATTACATTCAGTCAAGAAACGACAATTCACCACAGAAAATACAGTTTTGCAAGTTATCAATTAAGCGCTGCAAAGTCGCAAACTAAAAGTTATAAAGCACAACAAATCGAAGGGGAAACATACATTTGAAAGCAAGAGCAGGAAAAGAGAATTTCCACCATAATCAACACAATTCCTTAACAACTTACACTGATCTTCTAGGATTTTTCACAAACACATAAAACGCAAGAAAGCCAAGTAACAATTCTTCGTTGCAGGATTTTTCTCGATTTCTTATCACTGATTAAAAAAAGTAAACACCAATTAACAAGGCATCTTATCCAGAAAATCAATACCGAATCAGCTTAGATCACTCAAACACAAATTAAAACCCTAAAATAAATCAAACAACCGACCATTCAAACCCACCGACACGCGCCATTCACGCAGACACGCATACAGAAAGTGTACCAAAAACATGTAGCTAAAAAGAAAAAAGAAAAAAAAGTAAACACCAATAATTCCAGAGGATACGCAGTTTATATCCACGCTTCGCCATTTCCTCCCGGAAAATCTACAACCGGAATCACGCCGCGGCGGCGCCCGGCCAACAACCGAATCCTTGAAAGCAGATACAGATACAGTGTAGAAACTACACAGATACAAACAATTTTATTTGTATTTACAGATGAAGAAAATCCAGCGACAAAAGATAAGAATAGATTTCTGGAACGGTAACTTGAAAAAAGGAAAATTAAGAAAAGGGAAATTTTTCAGAGAGGAGAGATTTGAACAGTATACATCAAGAAAGAGAAAGTATGGCGAAAGCATAAATTAATTAATTATTTTATAAACCTCCGTCTCTCACTTTATTTATACTCACTCACGTGTGTGATTTACTCCATACGCCGTCGTTTGTTTGTTTTTTTTCACCCCAATAGATTGACCGACATGATTGGCAAATTAATTTTATATTTAAGTTAATCATATAAAATTTAATACAATAAAACAAAATTAGGGTGCCTAGTAATTAATTAATAATTAAATTAAATTATTTTATTTTACAGTTTTCTATTTTATTTGGGTTTTAATTGTCTTTTGTTTGTATTAACTTGCGGAGACATTCCAACCACTAGGTTGTAAGAAATGTAATAGTGGTCAGGATTTATTTGTTTTGTATGATTTTCCTAACTTTTTACTTTATCCAATTTTATGGAGAATTTACAATATCCACATGAATTAATTATTTAATATATTTATTATTTGTTTTGATGTGTCCATTATTTTCCTGCAATTTTTGTTGGGTCACAAATCACAATACTATGTTACATAAAGTCGTTTTAATTCGTTATTGTATCGAGTTTATTACAAGTAAAAAATCATCAACTTTAAACGATTAAAAATATTTAAAAGTATCTGAGAGTTAAGGAATAATATAAATTCAAGTGAACCTCTATAAATCAATATAATCGAGACTAGTAAAATTCTATTAATCTACCGAAATATTAAATTATTTTTACCGATCAGGACCAAAATAAATTATTATTTAAGCGAAAATATTAAATTATCGTAATTCTACTATATTGTCAAATATTATAAAAAGAGTTGATTTTATGAATACTAAGTCAAGGTGTTCTTGCTTGAAGTATTACCCAAATTAAAATTGAGTTCAATCACTATCAATGCAGTTGAAAATGAAAATTAAGAAGAGTATTCTACATTTAATTATCTATTAGTGTGCAATAATAGGATATGATTTTCCCAAGCATGCATAAAAAAATGAAGTATTACTATTTCTTTGCTATGGATTATAATACACGTCATAATCATTTTAATCAAAGATATTTTGGTGACTAATAATAACTAAAATTCAAAATTTACGCTATCAATTTTAATGTAAACTAACCAATTGTGACAAACTCGAACTAGCAAGCCTTGGTAAAACAATTACTACTCCCAGAAGTATAATATTTTGGGGCCCTTAAATATATTAATTTTGAAATATACTATTTATTTTGCATCAATTACTTGGGTGAATCTTCCCCCAACAATTTTTTATTGCGAAGAAGACAAAAGTTGATGGCAATAATTAGAGGGAATCATGTGCATCAGCACCACCTTCCAACTGTTCTTTGTCCCAACATTACACTTAAATTAATAATTACAAAAAAATTAATATTTGGTCCCGTACTTATCATTAATTATACTTAACCCCAAAATTAATAAATAATAATAATCAAAATTAGTAGTTATAATAATCATAATAACAAACCTAAAAAGTTAAAACTATAGCAGTAATTCTGAACTAATAAGTTAATAGATCCAAACAAAAAGAAAAAAAGACAAGCAAATGTTTTCTTGACATAAATATAAATATAATCTAGACATCGAGATAGCATCAACCCAAGCTTTTACTCACTTCCATCAGCCACATTGCTCTTCTTCGTGATTCTCACCTGAATTAATCCAATACAAATACACATACATTCAGAAGAAATAGAGAATTAGAACACAAACAATATATAAAAAGAATTGCCAAATCGTCATGAAAAAAACGAAAGTATAAATAAAACCAACATTTAGGCCGAGCCACTAGTAACTTCGGATGTGACAAACCAAGTTCACAGATTCTGGTTGGGTCGGACACATATTCATCAGTAACCACAATTTTGATAAGCCGAATACCATGTGGGTGACGTTATGGAAGCATCTGCACAACTTCTTCTATAACATTCTTCGCCTCAGCGCACACCTGATTTGCGTGGGGAGAAAGGTGTCACTAAGTTGAGTTTGGGAGGAGACTATATATGACATGACTGTTTTAATCGTGATATTTGCATGAGTTTCCGTGCAAGCACTGAAAGTAGTGGGAAAACTCTTGCATATGTTCTGGTAATTGTTAAAATGTGGTCTACTAAGAGAACTTGGGAGAGAAAACTTAGGGCTCTGGTGCTGCTCCCTACTAGTGACTTGGTTGTGGAGGTAACATTAATTTATGAAATTAATTTAATATCTTTACAGTAGTCATAAACAATCTTTACAAGTAGTGATTTAATATTGTTTATTTAATTGTGATGCTCCTTTTTTAGGTCAAAGAAGTCTTTGACCTTTGGGTGCGTGATCGGCACTTGTCGGTTGGTTTAGCCGCAGGTAAATCCTCAATTAAGAAGGAGATCTCAACACTCATAAAAAAAACCCAAATCGAATGCTGAGCAGCCACGTAGTAGAGTGAACTTACTATTGCTTCTCGAGGAATTGATATTATCAATAGCAACAAGGGTTTCACTCTGCAGCATCTGGACTTTTTTGCAAGTTGAAATGGTAATTTTGTTCATAGTTGTTTTGAATGACATGTTTTGGTTCTATTTATTAGGACATAATTTACAACGAATTTGGCTCTGATAGGTTGTCTATTAATATACATGATTGTTTATTAATCTCATCTCAGGAGGTTGAAGAATCAGAGACGTCA